TATCTTATTGGTTGAATTAATTATTGACAAACTGGCTAATGGTTAAACCAAATTTTACATAAATAGCCATTTTGAACCCATAGTGTTAATAAATTATGAATCATTGTAGGACCACACTTATATCACTTGTAAACGATATATATATATATATATACGCTTGAGTAACCAAGACAGACTTTGGGTGAGTTATTCAGGTGAATTCGACCTCAATTCTAGTGAGTCTAACAGTATAGTAGATTTCTTCATCGGGTAGACTATAATCGTCAGTATGTAAACAAATATGCTTAAAATAGTATGGAGATGCCGGCAGCAAACCCTCAAATTGAGTAGTTATTCATAAATCAATAACAAGCCACAAATAAGCGTACAGTGTAACTACTATTCCATTTTTCGGTATGATCATAATGCCATTTCCATAAAATTATTCATCTGTTCTTAAATGCTATACACATCTTACTGCCAATACCTCTACTACGTCTACAACTATTGGATTTGAATTGACAATTACATCTCTGTGCTAGTGTGGTATGGCAACATGAACTGATGTACGTACTTACGTACGAAGTTCTACGTTGCTATTGATTGATTGACACATCTTAGGCCTCTTGATAAACTGACTGTTAAACTTGCCCAATAATTCCTTGATTACTTTGTCATTGTACTAGTTTAACACTAAGTTATGGAGTTTTTTATGCACAACTCTCTATTCTATGGAGGAAGGGGTTACAAAATGTTGACCCCAAAATTATTGTCACACCTCAGTGGTTTCCGCCTCCGGCGGTAAGGCCTTTTAAACAAGAATAGAGCTAACACTTGACAGGCTTCCCATAAAAAGGCTGTTTGCGTGATCGGTCTCAACCAGTTGTCCCTTGGGCTCTGCGGTCACGCCTCTAGGTTGCTAAGACCAACGTTAATCTGATTTCCTTTTCAGGTTCCGCAAGAAGCACCGTTCCACGGTGTGTGAGCACTCAGGAAGTAACAAGCCTCCCTCATAGCCCTAACTGTGCACCAGACCATATTGGTCACAATCAAATCCTTCCTACATCTTCAAAATAACTTTTTTATCTCAAAGACTGACTGACTGTTGAACATGCGTAATAATTCCTTGCTACCTTGACGTGGTGGTCGAGCTTGCCTATCGTCATGATCCAACCGAGCTATATTGGCTGGAACATATGTTCTTGAAGGTTCTACCATGCCAGGCAGGTCGATTGGAGAACGATGAGACTAAAAGTAGCTATTCAAGGTCTCAGGACGAAGTCGTACTGCTGACTGCAGAGGGGTGTGACAGCAGTAAGGTGCTCGACTCCGACAACCAGCATGCTGCCTTCTCACAAGGAAGGAAGGGTGAGAAAAGGTCGACCGCAAAATTGTCATACCCCACCCTACCTCACGGATTTCCGTCTCCGTCGGTAAGGGCTTTAAAAGAGCGGAGCTAACACTCAAAAAACCTTTCATCAAACGGCCGTGCGTGACCGGCCTCAAGCAGTTGTCCCTTGGACTCTGCGTTCACGCATCCAGGTCTCTAAGACCAACTCTAATCCACCTTCTTTTTCAGATCCCTCAAGGAACAACCTTACACGATGTGAGCAACCGGGAAGTGACAACCGCCCTCATACCCTGTAACAGCACACGACAGACCAAATTGTTCAAAATCAAATCCTTCTTACCCCTTGATAACTTGATTATGTAAAATTATCCTTGTACTAGTGTAACATTGTATTATGAAGGTTTTCCTTTTTTGAAATCACAACTTCAATTTATATACATATATATATATATTTATATTTATTATTCTTTTGTTCAACATATAGGTATGTTTGCTATACGCGCAGAACGTGATTATACCATAGAAGAGGATTTTATGAAAGCTGTGCGCAAAATAGCTGATGCTAAGAAATTAGAAACAAAATTAGACTATAAACCAGTTTAAATATTTATATATATATACATATATTTGTTGAGGTGTAGATTATATTTGTACGCGAATTGAAAACAATTCAGTGATGCAACAAGTGAACTCTGATTGTCAACAATCAAATAATAAAAAAAAACACGCTTTTCTTTACCTAACCAAGAAGTGAATTGGTGTTTAACTGATAAATTTTACTTGTATATTTCAATTGTTGTGTTTCATAGATGTATATAGAGAGAGACAGAAAGAGAAAGTGTGTGTGTGTGTGTGTGTGTGTATGTGTGTTAGGTTCGTCACTAGGTATGCGTGAAACTATGACGGGTTCACCTTAGTCAATAAACGTCAACGGGACAATGAACCAGCATCCACGTAGGCTACCCTGATTCGATGACTAACCAAAACGTCTTGATATAGCGTAGAAAGTATATTCTACAAACACCCAGCAAACACAATGAATTCAAGCACACAAATCGCGTTCATTTATTCATACAACATAGAAGGGTCCTTGGGATAGTCACTAAAATACACAGCAACCAATCATAGCGGAGGATTTTCTTGGTGAGAAATGCGATCTCAAAGTCAACTGATGGTCAGCCCATACTTGCAAACATAAGATCCAGAATTAAGGCATTTATCAAGCGAGTTCTGGGGATCCAACGTCCCCAACAGAGAGAGTGAGAGAGTACACATGGTGAAATAAAAATTGTAATTTACTCATCAAAAGTTTAGTTTGCGGATCGTTATTTTTATACATTGAAATCATGAATAAATCTGGAAGCACAGGACCGAACATTCTGGGTTCGAGTCCTGCGAGTAGTAAGAGTCGTTGATGTACATTGCTCATGAGTCCCGTACCAGGACGAAACGGCGTATGTTTGAGGCTTACTGGACGTAGGAAAAACACCGCAAGGAAACCTCTTAGGGTTTTACTTATTGATAATAAAGCTAAGAATATATTTCAGGAGCAATTAGAGAGTTGTCAACCATGTAAGCGATTCCCATCCGGAAGCAGGTTCGAGTGATGTCAAAAAGGTGGTGTAAACAGTAGTGATATCTCCTAGTAAGGTAAACCATAAGGCTTTAATGAAGCCGTCGATCTCCGTAGCATCTACCTAACTGATGGGTGCTCGAAAACTCATCCCGCCTGGCTCTGAGTGCGATGAGGAGTGGAGTCATTGTAGGCTGACAAAAAGCCTACGCAATGGTCGAGAACAGTGGTGGGTGGTGAAAACAAAAGCGATGGAAAAGGCAGCGGCGATAGGCAACTATTGAGACTCGTCAAGGGAACTGGTTGAGAAAGCGTTAGGAAATCTGAAGCGAAGGCGAGCTGCAGGTCACTGAGATATTCAAGGATGGTGGTCCAGTTTTAGCATCTAGGTTAACTCAGATCTTAGGTTAAAAACTGATTATCCCAAGGACACAAGTTTTCTTGTGACAATCACAGGGGAATAAGTCTAACTAATGTATTATCTAAAATATTGGCCCCAATAATACTTCGACGCTTAACGAAAGCTCGTGAAGAGCAGACTACAGAATACCAGTCTGGTTTTCGACCTGGACGTGGATGTATAGACCACATCTTCACACTACGACAGGTCCTGGAACACAGACACACATTTAGACGTCCGACGATAGTCGTGTTGCTGGACGGCATTTGACCCAGTGGATCGTGAGGTTCTGCGGCAGTGTCTGTCACTGAAAGGTGTACCAGAGAAGTACATTAACCTTATACAAGCTCTCTGTTCGAACACCACTGGTCGAGTGAGAACTTGTGGCGAACTGTCGTCGGAATTCTTCACTTCAAGTGGTGTCCGTCAGGGATGTTCACTTTCTCTGTTAGGCGTTCGCACTAAAGACCGAAAGTCCTAGTACGAATCTTGCGAGGTACAGGAGTCGTGGATGCGCACCGCCACTGATGAAGAATAGTCGCATACTAGGACTAAGACCGCCGGCACTTTAATACTACCAGATTTCTACTAATGGTATCATGGGCTAACAAAGTGTGATTGATTGATTGACGCAATCTCAGGACAGATACAGAAATCTCGATTTGCTTATGCCAACCTGCCTCACTTGTGTCGTAAGCGAGATATCCATTTGCTAACCAAAGTACGAGTGTACTGCGCAACAGTTCGCTCCGTTCTCCTATATGGATGCTAAACATGGCCGTTAGGAGTAGATGTTCGTAGGTTGCTAGTATTCGATCATAGATTTCTTAGAAGCATTACTCGTATATTGTGGGACAACCGAGTTACCAATGCTGTCGTTAGGAAACGAGTACTAGGCAGGGATGGCAGATTAATTGATGAAGTATTGGAACTTCATCAGTTGAGGTGGTTGGAACATGTAATAAGAATGCCCAACCACCGACTGCCTCGACGAGCGATGTTTTGTGGTGTAGGAGTAGGTTGGAAGAAAGCTAGGGGCGGCCAAAACAAAACATGGCACAAATCCATGAAGTCACTGACAAGTGGATTGAGTCATGTTGGTAGATGTAGGCTACCTGGTTGGAGTCCGCGAGACGAAAGTCACCAATGGTTAGAGACCTTGAACGACATGACTCAAAATCGTTTGCAATGGCGCAAGTGCATCCATTCGTTGTGTTCTCTCAAATCTTAATCTTCTGGATACGTCAGCACCTCTACCTTTGTCTTTCTAACCTTATTTCACTTAATTATACTTCTTGAATAATATCTTCAAATCCTAGTCCTCTTCATTACCATTAATATCTCTTCTATGGTCGAGAAAACTTGTAGCTCAGGTGGATGATTGTGGTGGTGGTGGTGTTTCGTTCTCTGAGCTGGTTGTTTTGGTTATGGAGCTTTCATTGCTGTTCTTCTTCTGAACAACATCATCATCTATCTAAAGTTTGTGTTGATGATGTTGTTTGTTCAGAAGAAGAACAGCAATGAAAGCTGCACAACCAAAACACCATCCAGCTAAGAGAACGAAACACCACCACCACAATACACCTCTTCTATCTTTGGGATTTGATATGATTTGATTTAATGTGGTATGGCAACATGAACTAATGTATACACATACGTACATAGTTCTACGTTGCAAGACTGACTGACTGACTGATTAATTGATGATTTAATAAATTTATTTACATTTTCATATATGTATATATACAATATATAAATTTTTTTTAAAAAATACGTAATTTTTTCTCTTTCAATTGTTTATTTTGTATATTGACAATAGTTCGTTCATTCTCTTTTAATTGTATTAATTCTGCCTGTAATGCATCTATACGTTTTTGTGCTTGTTTCACTGCAATACGATCTCGTCCTGCATTACGTTGTATAGTATTGTGTATGATTGTTAATTGATTATTTAATCGATTAATTTGTTCATGTGTATGAAATAGTTTACGTTTTAGCATAGTTTCATTACAATTTAAAAGAGAATTATGATGTGATGATGATGATGATGCGATGATGACATGAGGTTTTGTACGACTGTTACTACTACTACGACCATGACTGGTTTGATTAACATCATCATCATCATCAGTACTCTTGGATTTCGGTAATAATAATGCCATATTGATTAACTGGAAAATATTTCCACTATGAGAAGAATGATGACTTGTTTGTTGTTGTTGTGATGATGACAGCTTATTCTTATTCGACTGTTCCATGGGTTTTTTCATAGTAGAACGACGACTAGTAGTAGTACCTTTTCGGCATTTTCGACGACGTAATAATACAACATTGTCTAATGATGGTCGATGATTCCATTTATGATTGTGAATTTGATATTTTTCAAGATTAGTACATACAGGAAATTGGTGACCTTGATGACAACGACCTAATCCACCATAGCCTGGATAACCCATATTTGCTAATAAACGTGAACCTATACCTCGTGTATGAGCTTCCCAATCACCGATAGAATTTTGTTTCGCTTCATTGGTAATATTAGGTTGTTGTTCTACATTGACAACAATTGGATTTGATAGTTGATTCGGTAACAGGGTACTGCCATGGACAAATTGAATTTGTTTACAATGTTTGTTAGACTGGATTATTGAAAAAAAGAATGAAATCAAAAAAAGACAGACTTTTTTTGGCATTATTAGAAAAAAATCAAATCAACTCATTTCAAACATGATGAATAGTATTTACAATTCGGCTTACTGTACAGACAGAACTTCGTACGTATTTACATCAGTTCAAGTTGCCATAATGCATTAGCACAGAGACGCAACTATCAATTCAAATCTCATAGTGGTAGATATAGTAGAAGGATTAGCAGTAATCGGAGAGATTACGGTTCGAAGATATGATTCGAGAAGTATAATTAAGTGAGATAACTTTAGAAAGAGAAAAATAGAGATGATGATGAATTACGGATGTTAGAATTAGAGAGAACACAAAGAGTGGATTCACCTGCCCGATTGCAAACGATTTTGAGCCATGTCGTTCAAGGTCGGTGACTTTCGTCTCGCGGACACCAACCACGTAGTCTACATCTACCAACATGACTCAGTCCACTTGTCAGTGACTTCATGGATTTGCACCATGTTTCAGTTTGGTCGCCCCTAACTTTCTTCCAACCTACTCCTACACCACAAAACATCGCTTACTGTACAAGGAATGATAAAATCGAAAATATGCATTAAGGACACTAGTAGTACAACCTTAGGAACACTTTTAAATATGTTATATAATCTGTACATACCAGTTGAAAATTATGAAAAGAAAAATATCACAAGTTTTCACACATTAACTTCAGCTTCAAAAAGTGATATACAAACGATAAATTAAGGTCCTATCATAACTAGAAAGTGGGTACATGTTAGGAAAATTCAACAAGTATAGTGAAAGTGTCTATCGTTCCTAAAGGACGTCTACAGGAACAGTGAAATTATCAAATATTATCAACATTAAATGTTGAGCCAGTTATTTAGATTCGCATATCATTCAGCCTAAACCTACACTACAAAACCTCGCCGGGGCAGTTAGGCATTCGTAAAACATGTCTCAACAACATCAACTGATGAAGTTTCTATACTTCATCTATTGATCTGTCATCCTTACCTAGTACTCGTTTCCTAACGACATCATTGCTTATACGGTTGTCCCATGATACACAAGCAATACTTCTATGACTAGTAGCCTATGAATACCCTCTATTCTTACCGGCCATGTTTCGCATCCATATAGGAGAACGGAGCAAACTGCTGCACAGTACACTCGTCCTTTAGTCAGCAAACGGATATCTCGTCTACGCCACAAGTGACGTTAATTGGCAAAAGCCAATCGAGCTTTCTATATTCGTGCTGAGATTTCGTCACACACCAAGCTACCAGCACTGATGAGACTCCCCAGACAAGTGAAGCAGTCAACACGCTTGACTACTTCACTCATCACTAGCTCAGGTGCCGAAGCAACTCAATTTTAAAGGCAACATTTTGCATTTCGAAGAGAACAATGGCATCCCGAACATGCTTGCATCATTGTTTAGGGTAGTCATAAGACTCTGCATATTGTCAGCGTCTTCACCAAACACAGCTATGTTATCAGCATATTCTAAGTCAACAAGCGTGTCTCCTGGCAGAAAATCCACCCGTGAAAAATCTGACGACGATAATGTTAACTCTAAAAGGATATTCACGACAAAGTTAAACAAGAATGGAGAGAGTGGACAACCCCCTTGAAGTAGAGAATTCGGATGATGAAATGAATCCACTAAAAATAATATGACAGACAGACAGATACAACGCAGAACTTCGTATGTAAGTACATCAGTTCAGGTTGCCATACCATATCAGCACAGAAAAAATCATAGGATACATAAAATAATAGAATTACCACCTGCAGAATCTTAACTACACGACTACTTGAAACCAAAATAACCATACACAAAAATGTCAATGATCACTTCAGATCCAGTTCCCCAGAAACATTATACTATGATGGTCTAGACAGATCTTACCGTTGGTAGAGAACATTAATTTCTACTAGACAAGAATATGTATGGTCGATTCAACAAGTCTAGAAATATATATATAGAACGTAGGGAATAAAAAAACTAAAATATCAACATACCTACCTGCGAACATGACGGTGTTTCAGTCGTCTGCTCACTAGAAGACCGACGACAATATGACGAAGTAGCAGTAGTAGTAGTAGCGGTAGTATGGCAATCTTCAAAATTACTAGTAGTAGTTGATGATGATGATGACGACGACGAATAACTGTCAAGTGAAACATCCGACTCGACTCCATCATCATCATTAACATCTTCCTCTCCTTCTAATATATGTACACATTCCAACGGCAGACTAACAACCTGATCCTCTAAATTCTCATATGATTGACGTTTCGCAGAATTCTTATCCGATTGACGTCGACTAACATGACCCCATTCAATAATACAAGTGCCTGATTCAAAATCAGTTTGAAGTAGTCTAGCATAATGCCATAGACAAGAATTTTGATCACTTTTAGGATTATTTGCTAAGCATGGTTGACCTTCATGTAGATATTTTTCTGTATCTGGTTCATACCATTCACCAATATCCTTTGAGAAAAGTAATATAACAACAACATTATATATATATATATATATATATATATATATATATATATATCAGTCAGTCAGTCAGTCAGTCAGATGCAACGTAGAACTTCGTATGTAAGTACATCAGTTCATGTTGCCATACCTTATCAGCACAGAGATAATAATTGTCAATTCAAATCCAATAGTAGAAGAGATAGTAAAGATATTAGCAGTAATCGGAGAGGTTAGGATTAGAAGATATTATTCAAGAAGTATGATTCAGTGAGAAAAGTTTAGAAAGACAAAACTAGAGGTGCTGAAGAACACAAAAGATTAGGATTTGAGAGAACACAAAGAATAAATGCACCGTCACCATTGCGAACGATTTTGAGCCGTGTCGTTCAAGGTCTCTAACCATCGATTATTATCATCTCGCGGACCCCAACCAGGTAGTCTACATCTACCAACATGGTTCAGTCCACTCGTTAATGACTTCATGGATTTCCGCCATGTTTTGGTCTGACCGCCCCTAACTTCCAACCTATTCCTACATTACAAAACAAAGCTCGACGAGGCAGTCAGTGGTTAGGCATTCGTAACACATGTCCAAATCACCTCAATTGATGAAGTTTCAGCACTTCATCGATTGATCTGCCACTCTTACCTAGCACCAGATTCCTAATAACAGCGTTGCTCACTCGGGTGTCCCACGATATACGAGCAATGCTTCGAAGACACCTATGATCGAAAACCAATAACCGACGAATATCTTCTCCTCTCAATGGCCATAATTCACAGCCATATAGTAGGACGGAGCGAACTACTACACAGTACACTCGACCTTTAGTCAGCAAACGGATATCTCGCCTACAAAATAAGTGACGCAGGTTGGCAAAAGCCAATCGAGCCTTCTGTATCCGTGCTGAGATTTCGTCAGTCACCAGGTCATCAGCACTGATGAGACTCCCCAGATAAGTGAAGCGGTCTACACGTTCGACTACTTCACTCCCTATCACTAGTTCAGGTGCCGATGAAACCCAATCTTGAAGCAACATTTTGCATTTCGAGGGTTACTTCAAATATATATACAGATATTGTGTTACAATGTTTCAGTTTCTGTGAGTTTGTTTACGTAAGATGTAAACAAAGCATAACAGAGAATTAATTTTATTATGTCATACACATTGAATACGTGATTGTAAAAATGTGCAAGAATCACACAGTTTGCTGAGAAGACTAAATGAATTTCAGAAAGATATTATAATCTTTGATGTATGCATCATATGACTGACAAGTTATGCAAGGGTTTATGATGAATAGTGATGATGCGAACAAACACTGACTGAACACGAAGAAAAAAACAACTCAATACAATTAATTAGACGACTATATAAGCGCAATTGGGTAGCATTAAAAAGATTAAACAAAAAAAATTACAAATACATGTAAATCACAATGATGATTTAGATGTATCAGTTGTCGCGTCCGTCATTCAACAATCTAATTTTGAGTTTGATAAATCTAGCAATTACTATTACATGGCCCGACCGAAGCTGCTACCTTGACATGGTGGTCGGGCTTGCCTATCGTCATGACCCAACCGAGCTATATTGACTGGAACTCATGTTCCTGAAGGTTCTACCAAGCGGTGAGACTAAAAGCAGCTACTCAAGGTCTGAGGGCGAAGTCGTACTGCTGACTGACTGAAGAGGGGTGTAGTGACAGCAGTAAGGTGTTTCCCTCGGACAACCAGTGTCTGCAGCGATGCTGCCTTCTCACAAGGAAGGAAGGGTTAGAAAAGGTCGACCCTAAAAATGTCACGCCTCACCCTACCCTCCCCAGTGGTAAGGGTGCCCACTAAGGGCTTTCAAGAGCGGAACTAACACTCTAAAAACCTTTCATAAAAAGGCTGTGCATGACCGGCCTCAACCAGTTGTCCCTTGGGCTCTGTGGTCACACTCCCAGCTCTCCAAGACCAACACTAATCTATCTTCCTTTTCAGGTCCCTCAAGAAACAACCTTCCACGGTGTAGGCAGCCGGGAGGTGACAACCGCCCTTATACTCGTAACAGCACACGAGACCAAATTTTTCAAAATCAAATCCTTCCTAATTACATGGAAACATTAATTAGAAATAAGTCAACGGTGAGTTTGGACAATAATCAACAATGTAATGTCAGCGCCAGGCAGAAACTTGATACCTGCGTACATTATGTTCAAGTTGTCATATCACCACCACTACATTAGCACAAAGATGTAATTGTCAATACAAATCTCATAGTGGTAGAGATTGTAGAAGTTACTGGCAATAATCAGAAAGATTATGGTCCGAAGATATTATTCAAGAAGTATCATCTAGTGAAATAGATTTAAAGAGAGAAAGATAAAAGTAATGAGGAATTCAGAAGACTAGAATTTCAGAGAGGACAAAGAATGGATGCATCTGGGCCATCGATGAATGATCAAATAACTAATTTACTAAACTATTATGCTTGTCAATCGATATGCTTGAAACTGTTACGAGTTCACCTTAGTCGGTAAATGAGAGCTAAGACAATGAATGATTCAGTGACATGACAGGCTACTCTAATCCGTCGCCTCACCCAACACTAAAGAAAGAAATCTTAATAAGGCGTAGAAAGTGTATTCTACAAGCACTCACTCAGGGAAATGAGGTCCACAAACACACAAATCAAGTTTATTTATACATTACAGAAACGTCCTTGGTAGATCTACAAAAAATAAGAACACATCAACCAATGACAGTCAAGGAGTTTCCTGTCGGGAAATGTGGTCGTCTCAATGTCAAATGATCAACCCATGAAAAAGAAATCCAAAATTAGGATCTTTACAAAGTGAATTTTGAGGATCTAACATCCTCAACATAAATAGAAATTTATGTACTCGGCTTTGGAAACCATTTGTTTGTATAAAGGCTGGTCAGTCAGTTGCAACGTAGAACGTCGTACGTATGTACATAAGTTCAGGTTGCCATACCACATTATTAACACAGAGACGCAGATGTCAAATCAAATCCCATAGTGAAAAAGATAGAAGAGGTATTAATGGTAATGAAGAAGAATAGGGTTCGAAGATATTATTCAAGAAGTATAATTCAGTGAGATTAGGTTATAAAGACAAAGGTAGAGGTGCTGACGATTCCAGAAGATTAGGATTTGAGAGAGCTCAACGAATGGATGCACTTGCGCCATTGCAAACGATTCTAAGCCATGTCGTTCACGGTCTCTAACCATTGGTGACTTTCGTCTCGCGGACCCCAACCAGGTGATCTTACTAGATAGCCTATTCCAAATACATGAATTGGAATTCAAACATACATTCAAATCCTCTTAAGACTAAGTCATCAATTTAACTACAATTTATAACAACTCATGACAATAATAATTATCATAGAAACAACTTAGAAACATTCAAAATCACATATTACATTGCATCATATGAATAAATCATGAAACAAAAAATGTACCTGTGTTTATTGACGACTAACAATTGCCGAAGAGAAAAAATAAAAGAGTGTACCATGACCATAAAAATCATGTGCATCATTTTTTATACAATTTCAAAATTCTAGGCTCTTAATAGAACAACAACGAACAACCCAGAAAATTTATCAATCAATAAATGTAATGATAACTTACTTCAATGTTGAAAATTTTCCCATGAGAATAAATACAACGTATACCTCGTAGACATGTACCAGTTTGAAAAAACTGTTCACAAGGTATTTCATTAACACGTGTAGGATGAGCCAGTATTACTCGTACACGACAATCGGAATCTATTCCACCACCACCACTACCATCATCATCACGATCATGATCATCATCGACAATTGAAAGAATCAATGCATTCTGTCGAATAAATTTCCCAGCTGCAGTCCATCCAGGTACACTACAACGTTTTCCAATGAAAGAGGATGATTGTTGATCATTTTTAATTGTGGATAGATTAGTTTTACATGGAGTTTCTTCAACCGCAACATCTATGCGTTCTTGATCATTACTATTATTATCATTATCAGTAGTAGTAGTAGTAGTCAGTAGTAGTGAATTAACTTCAGTTAAAAGTTGTGCTTTTCTATAATTTAACAATTCATGCTCTTTCAATTCAATTAATTCTTGTAAATCATTTTTAAGATTCAATAAATCACTATGTTTTTTAGATTGATCATTTTCTTCGTGAAGACATGTATTAATTTGATTAAGTGTTAATTTGAAATTATCAATTTCTTGTGATAATTCTTCAATGATGATTGACTGTAAAAAAAAATAAAATTAAAAAGAGTGCTCTATTTCCAAAGTAAAAATAATCATGAAATGTAGTCATTTGCGATGAGAAACGCCAAACATACACACAGTCTACCGAAGACTGTGTATGAGGGTTGCGCAACTCCGTGAATTTGATCAAGTTAGGCATTAACACCGTTAGATACCGGGCTCAGTGGTCTAACGGTTAGGGCGTTCGCGCACAATACCGAAGGTCCTGAGTTCGAATCCTCCGAGCAGCAGTAGTCGTGGGTGCGCAGTGCCACTGAGTAGTCCCATACCAGGACGAAACGGCCGTGTTTCAGTGCTTCCAGGTTTCTAATGGTGGTCTGACATTGATCATCGATTCATGGTTTCAAAAATTGTGTAACTTAACAATCTTCACAACCTCGTAATGCAGATAAATATATATCATAAATCTTCTTAAAGAAAAAGAAAAACTTTAAACCACTTGATTTGAACAATGATACTTTGACGTGGTGGTCGGGCTTGCCTATCGTCATGACTCAATCGAGCTATATTGGCTGGAACATATGTTCCTGAAGGTTCTACCATGCCAGGCATGTCCATAGCAGGACGATGAGACTAAAAGTAGCTACCCAAGGTCTGAGGGAGAAGTCGTACTGCTGACTGACTGCAGAGGTGTGTGACAGAAGTAAGGTGCTTCTCTCGGGCAACCAGCATTTGCAGCGATGTTGCCTTCTCACAGGGAAGGAATGGTTAGAAAAGGTCGACCCTAAAAATGTCACACCTCAAGGATTTCAGTATCCGACCGTAAGACCTCTTAAACAAGAGCGGAGCTAATACTCAGAAAACCTTTAATAAAAAGACTGTGCGTGACCGGCCTCAAGCAGTTGTCCCTTGGGCTCTAAGACCGACACTAATCTACCTTTCTTTTCAGGTTCCTCAAAAAATACCCTTCCACGGTGTGGGCAGACGGGAAGTGACAACTGCCCTCATACCCGTAACAGCAAACGAGACCAAATTGGTCACAATTAAACGCTGATATCAGTATTGAAATTGAATAAATTGACAGAAAACGATGTAATTTTAAACTTGATTTTACAATGAGTTCAATCATTAAACAAATAATGAATTGATAAGTTTTAAAAATCATTGAAACGATTGCATCGTACTGTTAATGTACATTCCCAGATATGATTTTATAAGGGGAAAACTCACAAGTTCGATTGTGAAAGCAATTGAGAAAATATTTCTACATTTTGGGAATGCACTAGTTTGATTCTATATATAGAACAGAATGTGGCTAGCAGTGGATTAGAGGATGTACATTTCACCATATTTAGGACTGGTCAGTTTGACACACTCTTCCATTTTTTAGAGTTGATATTAATCCAGGGACTCAAACCCAGTACTCGTCACTTCATACGTCATAGAGTTATCCACTTGCTACTGAGTTCAGATAGCCTGATCAAATTTCAATCAAAAATATCCACAAGGCGATATAATCTAAATCCTTTCAAATTGAATTACATCTCACATCCGTTGCATAAGTGAATGATAATCTGAACTAAGTAGTTAGGTGGATAACGAACGCGACGGAGTTTGAAGTGAACGGCGATGGATTTGAGTTCAGAAGCGAAAATGTACTATGGGGTAGGTATATACAGCTGACAAGTCCCAAATAGTGTGAAATGTGCATCCTGGCTAGATACTGTCCGCCATATTAGTCATTATCTGAGACTTTGCAGGATCTGAGATCAAAATCTGTATTATTAGGCGTTGACTTGACAGATACACATAAACGAAGTGCTCAACTTCTGGCTGACTCGTCTCACAGAGATGATTACTTCCAAAAAGTCGTCAACCATACATGTAGAGGGAAGTGACAAAATCAGAGAAACATTACCCAACATATAAATATTAATTTCGAATAGTTGAAACTACTGGACGCTCACAGCCAAACAGTAAAATCCTGGGTACGATCTGAAGTTTCGTTGTGAATACGGTCCCATCCATAGCAAGGCAAAACATCTCTCCAGTGCTTCCTAGTTTTCAACAGTCATCTAAGATTAGTGCCTGATGTGCTCTATGAAGATAGTGAAGTATGAGATAGAATTCACTTTGAAATGCTTTGGATTATTTCGTTGTTAATATTAGGACGAAACGTGCCTCCTCAATTCCACTGTTAATCACATTCTATCTATTCCATACAAACCTACATCATAAATGGTTATATCGAGGTAATTCGCATAGGATAACTCAAATGCCAACCAAGAGTTGATCGAATTTCAGCCAACATTTCAACAATCGCATGACGACTCACAACCATTTCGTAATCAATGACAGCTTCATTCTGCTATATGATAAACTACAACAACTGACACAAAATAATTATTACTGATCTTACGTATGTATATTAAATTTCAAATAATATCGAACACGATTGATCATCAACCAATGATCATCATGGATGTCACAATAGAAAGTCACAAGACAACATTCCATTGGTTGTGTCTAACCAATTGAAATGGCTAATTACTTCATCGAATCACGTGAACTCGGATGTACACATACATATCTATATATTTACTGGGGACTTAGTTTTATCGAAATCAATCAATAAATTATGCACCTAATCGAGGACAGTGTTGATTGACTGACATCTGACTGACTGACTAACTGACTATCTTGGACGATCAACAAGATGATACCGGCAAACGACACGCATGCATGCATGACACAAACAATGAGGCCTTTTTTTAAATAATTAAAATTAAGAGTGAACAATCGAAAATCCGCACACACACACACACACCACACACACATCTGTATCATTAATAATGTATCCAATTTATTAAAAACACAAAACAGATTGATTATACAGAGTGTGAGTGTGTGTGTGCAATTTTAAAAGTGACAATAACAATAATAGTAATAGTAATAACAACAATAGTAATAATAATAATAATAATAATAATAATAATCGTAGTGTATATTTACACAAACACATACATACATACATACCTACATACATATAATAGTCACGTGAACAATAATAGAAAATAAAAAATAAAACGCATCAATGAAGTAATATTTGTCAACATCATCATCATCAATTGAAGAAGAAAAATTATATATTTACACATTGACATCAAAAAAGCGAGAGAGAGATTGAGAAGAACACCACAGGAATAACGAATGCAAACTACCGTACGTATGCACGCATGTACGCGCGCGCACACACACACATACAAAAATATACAATGTCAATTGTTGTTCTGATTACCACCACTACTACTCACATACATTATTCAACTGTATGGTATATTATATGGGGTACAGCAAGCAGTGAATAAAGAGTTGACACAATACAGAGTAGGTGGACACATTGACCGAATAAGTGAGTGTGAGTGGGTAGGTGGCGGTTAAATTAAACAAAAAAGTTGTAGTTTGAAGAAGAAAAAACCAAAGAAGAACAAGATTTGAATATGTCTGATACACACAACTGATAATATACACAATTGGATAATATATATATATATGCATGTATGTATGTGAATGCAGGCAGAATAAAGAAAATCCTAAAATTTTTAACAATTACATTTATATTATAAGTAATATTTATACACGAAAAAACACTTTTTATTCAAGAGAGAAGAAGATATATATTTGTATACATGCATATAAACAGAGTTTATACGACGCATTGTAAATAAATAATCTCTGCTACAATGTAATCATCAATTGTGCAAAACGATGCGCTGCCTCTTCTCTCACACGATACACACAATATACATACAACAATATACACAAAACAGGACCTGTACAATTTGATTTTAACACATCATCATTATTGGACATACTACTGTGTGTGTGTGTGAAATGATCTAAAAATCGAAAGGGAAAAAGAATACACATTGCAAACAATGTAAACGAATATACAGAGAATGAGTTAATATTACTATTATTATTACTAAAAAGTGAATCATAGTTTACCGATTACAGAACATTGATTGATTGGTCGGTTATTAAATGTGTCACCAGTGTCAAACAAAAATTCTAAGATAGTGTACTTACTTACTTACTTACGCCTGTTACCCCCAATCGAGCATAGGCCGACCACCAGTTTTCTCCAACCAACTCTGTCCTGGGCTTCTCTCTCCAGTTCTGTCCAATGTTTGTTCATTCCTCTCATATTTTTCTCTATTTCTCGGCGTAATGTGTTCCTTAGATTTCGTCTTTTCCTTTTGCTTTGAGGGATTCATGTGAGGGCTTGTTTTGTGACGCAGTTAGGTGCTTGTCGCATTGTGTGTCCTATCCACTTCCACCGCTTCTTCCTGATTTCCTCCTCCACTGGAATTTGGTTTGTTCTCTCCCACAGTACGTTGTTGCTGATAGTGTCTGGCCAACGAATCTGAAGTATTTAGCGAAGACAACTGTTCATAAATTATTGTATCTTCTGAATGATGGCTTTCGTAGTTCTCCATGTTTCCGCTCCATACAGTAGGAATGTCTTGACATTTGTATTGAAAATACGCAACAATGCCAGCATGTTTGAAATGCGGTTGCCTCTCCGTCTCTCTCTCTCTCTCTCTGTCTATATATATATATATATATATATATATATATATATATATATATATATATTAAAATGCAAAATGTTACTTCAGGGTTGATTTGCATCAGTGCCTGGAGAAAAAACTTGAGAGTGTCGACTGCCCATTTATCACGAAAGTATCATTATTAATCCTGACGGAATGTGTGTGACGAAATCTCGGTAGAGCTACCACAAGGTTGGACTGGCTTTAGTCAACTTGCATCACTTATGAAAATATAGGCGGGATATCATCCGTTTGTTATTGCACACCAGATCATTTCATCCTATGCAATTAGCTTCTCAATTTCAATGGAGAAGTGAAAATAGCCCAAGTAGGATTGATATACCAAAACATGCCAGCAAATATTAATCAAAATCCGATCAATACTAACTTCATCCCAACCGAAGCTGCTACCTTGACGTGGTGGTCGGGCTTGCCTATCGTCATGACTCAACCGAGTAATATTGGCTGGAATTCATGTTCCTGAGGGTTCTACCATGCCAGGTAGGTCAATTGGAGAACGATCAGACTAAAAGCAGCTACTCAAGGTCTGAGGGCGAAAACGTACTGCTGACAGTGATGGAGGGGTGTGACAGCAGTAAGGTGTTTCCCTCGAACAACCAGAATCTGCATCGATGCTGCCTTCTCACAAGGAAGGAAGGGTTAGAAAAGGTCGACCCTAAAAATGTCATACCTCACCCTACCTGGCGGATTTCCGTCTCCGTCGGTAAGGGCTTTCAAGAGCGGAACTAACACTCGGAAAACCTTTCATAAAAAGGCCGTGCATGACCGGCCTCAAGCAGTTGTCCCTTGGGCTCTGCGGTCACACTCCCAGCTCTCCAAGACCAACACTAATCTATCTTCCTTTTCAGGTCGCTCAAGAAACACCCTTCCACGGTGTGGGCAGCCAGAAAGTAGTGACAACCGCCCTCATACGCGTAACAGCACACGAGACTGACTAACTGACTCATCTATAAGCATCTATGAGCGAGATTAATTTTAAATGTTCAAGTGAAGATGACTGCATTTCTTGATATCATTCTACATTGTCTCTCGTAACAATGGACTGCTGTGTTACACTTGCATTCAACAATTCAACTTACAAAAAAAAACCAATCAATCACAAACTACATTGAAACCATGTGAAAAGCATGATAGAAAGACAGAAAGAAAAAACAAGAACAACATACCTGGAAATTCAAAATAATGATAATCATAATAAAACTATCGAATCAATGAATAATTATTATTACTGGTCCCACTACCACCATTGCAAAGATGATTTCCTTGAGAACTTGTACCTGGACAATTATTATTAGTAGTATTATTAGTACTATTATTAGTATTTGGTGAATTTTTAATTAAAGAAGAAGAAGAAGAAGTTAATGATTTTGTGGTCTTTCCAAGTGTAACATTATTTCGACGTCGAACTTGTCGTACCACTGGAGGATTATGCGTTGGATATCTTCGTGTAGATCGTCGTAAAGTAATGGAATTCGATACAATAGAATTATTAGAATCCAAATTGATTTTTGATGCTGATGATGCTGATGCTGAGGAGGATGATGAAGATGATGATGATGTAGGGGACAATGATTTACTACTACTAGTACTACTACTCAATTGTTTAGAGCTATTTTCCATCTCTTCAACAAGACGATGAATTCCAGGACTGAAATGATGTATCAAATTTTTAGTAATCAAACTTAATCGTTGAATAGAATCCAGTAAGTATTGTTTACGTTGAGAAATTCCTTTGATCAATTCAATAGCTACATTAAATTGATTAGTCATCTCGGAATCGTCTGATTTTAATTCGCAGCAATCTGTAGAATTCCGTGTTTCAGTGATGATACATTGAGAAGATATATTTGGTTGTGATGAAGTAACAACATTCTGCGTAGAAATGCAATGAAGTTGGTCTGTTAAATCAGTTTCTAAATTTCTTATGGTTTCTAATGTTTGCAATTCTGTGTATGCCTAAATAAAAAGAAAATACAGAAATATAGAATCATGAAAATAATACCTGGCTTCAACTAATATACTCAACCTTTCGTTCATAAACTAACAAACATACAGAAGAAATATAATAAACGAAACGATTGAATATACATGACTCCTTGTGTATATTGAAAATGTGAGACCTATAACGATTTCGAGTTAAAAGAGTTTAAAGAGCAAAGAGCAATGATATAAATTAGTTGTTGAATATGAATGTTTGAATATTGAGAACCTGATGTGTTTATGTTTTATGTTTATGTGTTCACAATGGGCTTGCCTAATTCAATCTCTCTGTTGGGGACGTTAGATCCCCTGAACTCCCTTGATAAATGCCATGTTTACGAGTATGGGTTGATCAATTGACTTTGAGATCGCATTTCCCAACGGGGAAATCCTTAGCTGTAATTGGCTGCTGTGTTATTTTGGTATGCTATTTTTGTGACTCTCCCAAAGACGTTTCTATGATCTATAAATAAACGTTATTTGTGTGCTTGAATTGATTGTGTTTGCTGGGTGTTTGTAGAATACACTTTCTACTCAATATCAAGGCTTTTTTGGTTAATCAACCGATCACGGTAGCCTACCTGGACGCTGGTTCATTGTCTCGTTCTCGTTTATCGACTAAGGTGAACTCGTAATAGTTTCGAGCATACCTAACACTCTCTACGACTTATCTTGAGGTAATATTCAGAGCTACAAAATATCCATCTCAATTACTGATGGATTATCATTTAAACTATTATCAACATATTCGTCTTTGAATTGATACCTCAGAGAGATTGTATTTTCACATCTTCCTGAGAAAAACTGTTATGTTCTGCAAACAGACATGAACAGTTAGATGTAGAAAGTTTGAAATATTACACTAAAAATACAAGTCATTCCTAGATTTGGATTCACATTTATTCAACTAGTTCATAAAAATTTGTTAACCATAGGAAGGAGTTTACTTCGCAGTAGTTTGCATTGTCCTACCACACACGAGTGGAAAACGTGACTAGTAAGAATAGAATACATTCGTAGGTTATTAGTATTTCATCACCGATACCTTAGAAGCATTCCTCATACATCCTGGGACCAATGAGTAAGCAATGCTAGTGTTAGAAAAACGGTAATAGGTTAAGATGGTGGTAGATCAATAGATGAAGTAGTGAAACTTCATCAGTTAAGTTGATCACGACAAGTGTTACCTATGCTCAACCATCGACTGCGTCAACGAGCGATGTTTTCCGGTGTAGTAAGTCTGGAAGGAAGCAAGAGGTGGTCACACCAAAACATTGCACAAGTCCATGAAGTCAATGAAGACAACTGGACTAAGTCATGTTAGTAGGTTTAGAGTACCTGGTTTGGGTCCACAAGATGATAACAACCGACCTTGAATGACATGGCTTAAAAAAATGTTTGCAATCGCTTAGATTCATCCATTCTTTATCTTTTCTGAAATTCTGAATTCCCCATAACCTTATTTCTGATTTAAAATTTGTTTTATTAGTCTATACTTCTCAAATTGTATCTTCAGTCACTAATCTTTTCGATTACTGCTAATACTGTTACTACATTCACCCATCATGGAATTTGAATTGATAATCCGATCTATCTGTGAACTTGAAATGATGTGCATACATACCAAATTCTAAGTTGTTGCTGACTGACTAATATTAAAGCTTAATTATCTGACAAACAACCCAACATAAATTGTAAAAGCGAATCCTCTAGTAATAATAATAATAATACTCACCAATAAATCTAAATTATCAGCACAATGCAAAACTCGCCAACCAGTAATATCCAAAACTGATGATATAGTCAATGGAAATCTAACAAAACCGGAATCTTCTTGCTCAGCACGTAATGCTAAAATATCTTGCACTAATCGTTTCGCTGCATTCGATTCACATTCAGTAGTAGTTACACTATCTAAATTATTCAAATCTTCAACTTGTTTCGTTTCATTATGTGATAAATTTGTACCAGTAACTAAAGAACGACGTCTACGACGAGTATTCTGTACACTGTCACATCGTGATGAATCATTAGAATTGGTAGATTTGTTCTGTGATTTTATGTATATCTCAGAGAGACTAAAATAAATGAGAAAAAAAAGTAGGTGAATTTATTTATAATTCAACAAATATGGAAGCAGAAATAATTATCGATGATCATGAAAGCCTTCTTATCAATCATGGAATTGAAGACAGGGAAAAACCAAGTAGACACTTACGAACGTTTTATCACTTGAATAACTGAATCGAAAATCTCCAACACAGAAAAACAGTGTGTATCAGTTTACGCTGACTTACTTCATATTGTGGTGCGCGCTACTTATAAGTAGTATATGATGCGAGTCTAAACGTAATGTCTGGCAGCAGGAGATGTGGGGAAGATCAAGAAACGAAGAGTGGGAACACAATGGAATTTGTATGAAACGCATGAATAGTGAAATGTTAAACAAGAGTTGCAAATTAACGATTTACGATTTTACTGAGTAACCCTGTAATTTTCGTTGAATAAAATTCGGTTGCCCTCACCTGTGTTCTCCTTCACTACAATATCACTATAGTGAAAGGAAACTAAGTGCATTTAAAAACAACATGGCGGAAGTTATGTATGATGTATATATATATAAAGCTTGATAACCAAAGGAAGAGTTTACTTTGCAGCAGTTTGCTATGCACTACTAAACGGGTGTTAAAACGTAACCTGGTAGGGAGTGAAGTAGTCGAGCATGTAGACAACTTCACTTATCTAGGGAGTCTCAACAGTGTTGAGGGCTGTTGATGACTGACGAAATCTGAGCACGCATATAACTTGCTTCATTTATTGCGTAGGCGAGATATTCGTTTGCTAACCAAAGGACGAGTGTACTGTGCAGCAGTTCGGTCTGACCTACGATATGGATGCTAAAATGGCCGCTAGGAGTAGAAGACATTCGTAGGTTATTTGTATTCGACTATAGATGTCTTAGAAGCACTGCTTGTATATCCTGGGACAACCTATTAAGCAACGCTATAGTTAGAAAACTAGTACTAGGTAAGGATGACAGATCAATAGATGAAGTATTGAAACTTCGTCAGTTGAGGTGGTTGGGAAATGTGTTACGTATGCCTAACCACCGACTGCCTCGACGAGCTATGTTTTGTGGTGTAGGAGTAGGTTGGAAGAAAGCTAGGGGTGGCCAAACCAAAACATGACAGAAATCCATGAAGTCACTGACAAATGGACTGAGTTATGTTTGGTAGATTTAGACGAAAGTCACCAATGGTTAGAAAGGTTCAACGACGTGGCTGAAAATCGTTTACAATGGCACAGTTGCATCCACTCGTTATGTTCTCTAAAATTCTAATCTTCAGAATTCCTTATAACTTCTACCTTTCTATTACTAAAGTTATCTCAATGAATTATACTTCCTGAATAATATCTTCGATCCCCAGGATTCTCCACTACCAGTAATTCTTCTACTGCCTCCACTACTATGGGATTTGAACCAACAGTTGCATCTCCGTACTGATGTGGTATGGCAACTTAGACTGACATACGCACGTACGAAGTTTCACGTTGTAACTGCCGGACTTGTCTGACTGATTAAAACGTGGCCAGTGAGATTAGAGCATACTCGTGGGTTATTAATATTCCATCGCCGATGCCTTAGAAGCATTCCTCACATATCCTGGGACCGACCAGTAAGCAATGTTAGTGTTAGGAAACGAGTACTAGGCAGGGATGGCATATCAATTAAATGAAGTAGTGAATCTTCGTCTGATTTTAATAAAACAAGGCGAAAATTATCATAACAATGTGTTGAAGAACAATGGGAAAATCAAGACAAACAAAATGAACGAAAAACGAGGATTTATGAATATAGAATTTAGTAAGTAGTAGCGTTCACGTTAAAAAGTAGAGAAAAATGATTCAGTATGTAGTGCCTTCACGTATATATTCGAGTTCGCTTTTACTTAATTTGGTTAAGCCCTTTCGATTGATTTATTTAACCAAGCCATTTATTTGTATAACAATCACTTATATGTACCATTGGCTTTTATTATTTATAAGGTACGAGAGTTCCTAACTTAAACCCGATGCCAAAAAGCCATATGACGTATTAAAACAGGCCGTAATAATAAAATCTTTCTCGTTAACCGACAAACAAGCTCTCGAGCAGCTTCTCAACGAAGTGCAAATAGGTGACTGGACACAATCACAACTGAACAATTACATGAGAAGAAGAATAATATGGGTCAGAAAGATAAACAGTAGCATATTTTACCAGTGATGGCTTCGTCGACTACGTGCGAATGTGCAGCAGATTACTCGCAGTTGGAGATAGCGATGCCGATATAAATCACATGGCAGAAATAGCCGATAAAATTTACGAAAGAACGAACACATCGAATCCACAGACAGGTGGTACACCACACATCAATAAATGATGAAATCTAAGAGTAAGAACACGTAGAAATTGGCCACCACAAGTAAGTACACTACTAACATGTCTGTAACTCTTTCCTTTCCAAATAGAAAACTCTCTTCATGAACTAATAACATATTTTAAAACTTTTAAATTTGCATTCATCCCCCGCTCTCTCTCTGTCTCTCTTAAGCAAACTTGGACAGGAGAACAACACATGGTTATTGATGCAGTACGAACAATATATGTCATCAAATGCCGATCGATTTTTGCTTTTATTTTTTACATCTATGACCCCTAGTTAATATGAATTTTAAATATACAAACAATTCATTTTCATAATCAATTATAACATGGTAATTATTTTACCTGATAGAAATTTATGACTGCCAAAGCCTGTAGAAATGGGAGAGCAAGGATTGAAAACTTCGTAATTTGAATAGCAGTCTTGAAACAATTTTAAAGGGGTACACAATGTATATGACTGTTAGGATATTTATTCATCAAATATCCTAAGAGAACAATTTTTTGGAAGTTTAATTCTATTGGTCAATTCCTACTGGTCAATTTATTATGGTCATCCTAACAACTGTCAATGTCACATATTTCAATGTTGTTTCCTATTGGTTGTCCTAACTGTATAAATATGCATTATCTGTAACGTTTTATGATCAGGACTCGAATCCCTAGTCCGGGATCCTCAGTCAGATGCAACGTAGAACTTCGTACGTAAGTACATCAGTTCATGTTGCCATACCACATTAGCACACACAGATGTAACTGTCAATTCAAATCCAATAGTAGAAGAGGTAGTAAAGGTATTAGAAGTAATCGGAGAGGTTATGATTAGATATTATTCAAGAAGTATGATTAAATGAGAAAAGTATATAGAAAGTCAAAACTAGAGGTGTTGAAGAACCCAGAAGATTAGGATTTGAGAGAACACAAAGTCCGGCATCCTGATTCTCTTCTGAAATCGGATCTCGTACTTTCTGTATGCTTGTACGATACATGTTCTACTTCATATCAAGTTTTCTTTGGGGATTTGGGACAATCAGATTAGAGTAGTATGTCGTGTCGCCGGATCCTCGACCCTCGCTTATGTTTCCCGACGAAGGTAAACTCGTACTACTTCAAGCATATCAAAATGACGTGTTTACATTCATGTGTAACAATGACAATGCACGTACATATTTAATTAACAATTCTATGGGGGAAGAACTGAGATACAGGAAAAAAAACCGGTAACATTATTGAATTTAAGAACTTTACCTAAGAAAGTGTGAATTTTTCGAACGATAAGGACCATTCAATTTACTATTTGACAAGCTACACTTTGGATTGATGAGAGGTTTCGGTGGTCCACCATTAAGTATCCATTCACAACCATCCACAGGATCAATAGTCCATAAGATACCAGTTTTTGTTGTTAATTTATGCTGATGCTGCTGATGATGATGATTATTATTATTATTGTTATTGCGTAAATCATGTTTTACCACTGTAATCTCATCAATTTTTTGACAATCATTAATTTCTTGATCATTTTTAATTTTTTTCCGTGGTACTACACCTGTTTGTTTTTCGTTGAAAATCTCCGCAGTATCATATTCATTAAAATCATTATTAGTAGTAGTATTATTACTATTATCATCTTTAGTGTTTGTAGAAGAGAAATAATTGTATTTTTCATTGGAATCTAAAATGTTTGTCAAATTAAGCTGTTTTGAATAATCATCTAAGTCATTATTACTATTATTATTATCAGTAGTAGTATTAGTAGTATTAGTATTAGTAGTATTGTGTAACCATGAATTGGAAAGTGATAATTCCGAATGTGTTGACAATGAACTGGACTTTTTTACATCTGTATTGCTTATGATATGGCTAACATCAGTGGTCAGTTCATTTTGAGATTGTTTCAATGATGATACTAGATGATGTAAAAGAGGATTTGATTCAGAGGCACAACGGAATGGTGGTTTATTACTGGATTGATGATTAATGTATTTTGAATCGTCAGAAATTGATTTAGGTATCTGAAAGAAGAGATATTTCATGCATTAAATAATTTAACTTCCGAGAATATTATCATTAAAACATATAATTATAAATGGTAAGATGGGGGCAACAAAGTATTTATGGGCTATACGACATTTGTTGAAAGGTATACCGAAGAAGTACATTAACATTATATAAGCTCTCTACTCGAACACCACTGGTCGAGTGAGAGCTTATGGCGAACTGTCATCGGAATTCTCTACATCAAGTGGTGTCCGTCAGGACTGTCCACTCTCTCCATTCTTGTTTAACTTTGTCGTAGACATCCTCTTAGAGTTAACATGGCCGTTAAGAGTAGATGTTCGTAGGTTACTAGTATTTGATCACAGATGTCTGAGAAGCATTACTCGTATATCCTGGGACAACCGAGTATGCAATGCGATAGTTAGGAAACGAGTACTAGGTAAGGATGAAAGATCAATAGATGAAGTATTGAAACTTTATCAGTTGAGGTGGTTATGACATGTGTTACGTATGGCTAACCACCGACTGCCTGGACAAGCTATGTTTTGTGGTGTAGGAGTAGGTTGGAAGAAAGCTAGGGGCGGCCAAACCAAAGCATGGTAGAAATCCATGAAGTCACTGACAAATAGGCTGAGTCATGTTGTTAGATGTAGGTTACCTGGTTGGGGTCCGCGAGACGAAAGTCACCAATGGTTAGAGACCTTGAACGACATGGCTCAAAATAGTTTGGAATGGCGCAAGCGCATCCATTCGTTGAGCTCTCTCAAATCCTAATCTTCTGGATTCGTCAGTACATCTACCCTTGTCTTTCTAACCTTAAGTATACTTCTTGAATAATATCTTCAAACCCTAGTCTTCTTCATTACCATTAATATCTCTACTATCTTTATCATTATGGGACTTGATTTGACATTTGCGTCTCTGTGCTAATGTGGTATGGCAACATGAACTTATGTACATACGTACGAAGTTCTACGTTGCAACTGAATGACTGATACGCCATTTGTTCCTTTAGCATTCTGCCAACCAACCGAATTCAAGCTCTGGCTGGGTATTTGCATTTCATTTTAACTTTTTCAAACACAATATTCGACCACAAGAAGACACTTGATAGTTTTTTTGGCAGTAACTACTATATACTTGTGGCAATGTGAGGAGTATTTGGAGAGAAAAAGTGGACTCTCCCTAATTTACACTTACAAACAACAAATCCATGAAAGATTTTCAGATATTTATGATATTTAGAATTTTTCAATTATCAAACATGGACATAAGATCTTTAACTTACATCAGATATTGAATATTGGCTAGTTGGAAGAATATTATGACTAAGAGCTTGTTGATTTTTAGTTTCTTGATTTTCAGTAATGACAGTAGTAGGACTAATATTTGATTGTGGAGATCGAAATCGCACTTGAAGCACACCATTTGTTGATCCCGATACTACAACTGGACTTAGGATACTGGGTGCAGAACATGTTGACTCACTACTACTACTACTTACTACTGAACTAGAAGAATTAGACGAAGTAACTGTTGTAGTGCTTAGTATTGGATAAACCGAAGTAGTCAAAACATACACTGCAGCTGTTTGTGTTTGATGAATATCTGAAGCCTGTGAACAATGTGAATTTGTCATACGAAGGTGTCCTCCACCAGGAGATAATATCTGTGATGGAGATGTGACCATAATTACTGAATTATCACTTGTACTTCCACGAGTCACAAAACTTCCGGTAGATGATTGAAAACAGGTAGTGTTTATTAGAATAGAACTGTTACTGGGAATAGAAGTAGTTGGAGTAGAACGTACTGATACTAGGCGTATGCCCATAAGTCCACTACTGTTGGATGATGGACTAACATTGGTTGCACAACTGACGGAAACGCTAGCTGATGTATTCTGAAAAAAAATAATAAGTCAACAACTTGCCAGTCAATTTGTATGGAAATTTGGGAAAATGAAAAAACAAATGGTGTCTGAATTTCTTCTGATAAGCAATAAGCTATAAATCCTTTAACGACCACCAGTTCAAAAACACTTGATTCAGCATGTCATTTTAATTAATACGAATTCGTTGGTGAATCACCTGACTTGGATACCTTAAGATCGATAATAATCACTGGGATGATGCGTCAGAATACTGGCACTTTTACTTGTGATGACTGAACACTAGTTTATATATTAGGCTATGATGGAAAACAGATTGATATTGCTTGATGCAATGATGTATGTGGGTAATAATTAATAAGATGAAGGGGGGTCATCATTGTGCACTAATCAACTGATTGAAACATCAAAAACCATGAGATAACGTCGTGTAATTATCTAGTCAGTAAGTAGTTGAATACATTGAACTGGAAGCAGTTGACAGCTACTAATAAATAAATTACTCTGCAGTTGGGTTATGTGGTCCAGTGCAGAAAGGGTACTGGACGCCAATGATGTCTACCCACTTACGTGGGATTAGCCCTGCTTGGCCGAGTGCTTGCGCTTGTTTGAGTCCATGATATCTCCCCCATAGGAGGGTGTACGTTCCGACTGACCTTGTGGGACAAACTCGATCTTTAGCTTCATGTGGGGTCTGAGGGCTCCGGTCGATTGTATCAGTGCAAGGCTGTTGGAGGCCAGACGGTCGGAAAGGCTGCTGGTTAGTGCACTGCTGGGTGGCTCGGTAATCCGTTCAGGGCGCACGCCTTGCCGATTGGGGATTGTGGGTAGTGGATTGGTTGCAGGGATCTTGTTGATCCATAAGTGCCCGAACGGGGGCCACTGCTCGTGCACGTGCTTTTTGGACGTCCATTTGTCTGCAGACCAATCTAGACATGTGCGTCCCCGCATGGGACAGGGATGATCGCAATATTAGCTCTTGTGAGAATCCTTGTGTTGCTTAAAATGCAGCGGCGTGCATGTGCAGCAGGCTTGATGGTTAACCAAGACTAGGTACAATCACGGAGAAAGTAGGATACTACTTGCGTTTAGAACATTTACAATTTACATTTTAGCTATCTGGTAAGATTCGTGTCAGACCTGACACGAACGTGTATCAGTGTGTCAAGACTTCATTAAACATCAATACATTGAGAAAGGAAATTTTCAAAGTAAAAAGAAAAGGACAGAACTCAATCTAATCATTGAAACGATAGCGAAGAATAAAGAGTTATCAATGATACTTAATTCTTAGAGGAAGACAGATAGTGAGTGTCGTTGCTGAACTGCAACCTACATCATCCTATGATATTTAACATCCTAACTAACTAATTACAAGTATTTAAAAAAAACAGATTGTATACGACCGATGAGAGTAATCTTTCGTAAATCTTCAGAAAATCTAAATACTAACACTGGAAAAACCAGTTTTGCACTAATTTTAAGAAACGTCATTTTCTAAAGTGATTAGGGAAGCTACTTCTTTAAACTTATTCATCCACAAAATTTTACAGGAGAAACAGTATCAATTTCCTTTCCTACAATAGATTTAAAATGAATATTATCACTAAATTGGTAAGTGAAATAAAAATACTATACCTCAGGCATTTAAATGATTACTGTTTAGTTGAGTAGTATGTGGCTATTAGCTTTACTGATAATTTGTGAACGGTTTTTGTCAAAAGTGGTTATTAAAAGTAGATTTCTTATGACTGATTAACTTCAACAAGAGTTGCAAATGAGATAGCTACTTACTACTCATAAGGTTGGATGATTATTAAATCATAATTTGATTTGAAATGTGGAAGAATGAACTCAAATTCAACGCTCAATGCGAGAGACGTAAAGTAGGCGTTATTGAGGTAGATTCGAGATGAAAACTATCTGTTAATAAGGACTAGAACTAGACAACATTTATTTCAGTAAGTGTTAGTGGGATGGATTAAAGCATGACTGAGTTAGCTGTGCGCTGATTGGCTAATTCCCTATCCAATCAGTGCCTGGTCGAGACTTGGAGAGCAGTCTAGAAAATTCTCGTGGTGTTAGCCGCATGCTGATTGGCTAAATCTAATCCGGTCAGAGCGAGTCAATCACGTGGATCACATTCCGGAAGCTTCTCATGTGAACACTATAAAGAAACTAACGTTGTTACTATTTCGCCTTCGCTTCAGCTTCTTACTTCCATTTAACCTTGTTATTTGGAATATAATCTCTTTCCTGTTCCACCGTGTTACGATTTGGGGACTTGTCGAGTGTATTGTTGTCAGAGGATACTAAGCCATAGGAATAGCTGGGTTTTACTAAGAGAGATTTAAAACAGTAAGCCTGAAGTAAAGTTTGTAAATGCAGCCTAGTGATCAAGTATAGGACAGCGAAGTTTTCTTTGAAGCACACTTTAAATGGAGGTTGGAGATACAGGTTTGGTTCCATAAATTATAACAGCTGAGCCAAAATCGGACCTACAACTTATTAATTAACAACAAAGTGTTTTACACAATAAGCAATTACACAATTATGATATGATGTCAACAACCGTTACAAAAACCATGCTATTAGAAATACTCAGATAGATTTAACAGTTTTCTAGCTTACTCGATAAATAGGATCCAGTGATACAGCGCCTGGTTTGGCAGAACTTCCTGAGATCTGTGATGAATTTGTCACTTGACAACTGTACACAGGCTGTGCAAACTGATGTGGTTGAATAGTTGGTTTAGCCATAGCAACCAGCGTAGGCGTTGACGGCAGTACGTTGCGACATCCTGACACTACAGAATTTAAACTGGAAGAATTTACTAAACTACCCATACTAACTGCCGTTGAGGTAGTTGACGAGACAACCGACACTGGAGTAACCATTACAGATGAGAAAGATGAAGCAAGTTGTTGTTTACGTGCTCGCTTTCTACTAGGTTGAGAAAAAATAGATGAAGTTGGAAGGCGATGAGAACTAATGCAAACAGAGTTATTTTGAGAGAAGTTTGGACGAGTGTGTGATGTGGAAGAAGTCACAGCAGATATGGATGGTTGTAATGGAGTTAATTTAGCTGGAGCAATATTGACCGGTAAAATATGTGGCACCACAGATGTGATAGATGAAGTAGCAGATAATCCCGTGTTTCCGCTCAAATTGATTGGTTTTAAAAGCGACGTAGGACCAGCTACAACTGTACTAGTGTTTGGTATATATCCAATAGCTGAAGGTCCACTAGCCTAGATGTCATAGAAAATGCTAAAAGTTAGTCAGGTATAAATATCATTGGAAATAATCAAATTATTAAGGATGTATATGTAACCATCGTAGTTTGTAGCTGAATAATAACAATATTCTGCAATGATTCAATGTGATAATGAAATAACTTTTATTTGTAACCATGAATCGATCAATGTTAGACCACCATTAGAAACCTGGAAGCACTGGACAGCCGTTTCTCCCTGGTATGGGACTCATCAGCAGTGCGCATCCACGACTCCTGATCGATTAATGGTTACAAATAAAACTTAACAATCTTCACAACAACCCCACAATGCAATTACATGTGTCCACTAGTGACTAGCTTGGTAAGGAATCTTCTCCGAGTTCTAGTGGGAAGTCGTGATCAGTGAAGTTCAAACCTGTTTGGATGTATACAGGGTATGAGGTTGCGCAACTCCGTGAATTTGATCAAGTTAGACATTAACACCGTTAGATACCGGCTCAGTGGTCTAACGGTTGGGGTGTTAGCGCACTATACCGAAGTTCCTGGGTTCGAATCCTGCGGTTCAGGTTTTATTCTAGTTAGTATTCATCAACAAGATACCTGGCTGGTATCAAGGTACCACTCGAAAAAAGCCAAACACATATTGAGATGTTGCATACATTGAACGTATCACAAAATCCGGTTGATGAGCAATCGATAGAATGCAGTTTAAAAATAAGAACACGTATAAGCAATACAATATTCTCAACTCAATACTACGGAGTACGACACCATTTAATGAGTAAAATATGATTTATCACTTACACGAACTATTAGCGGAGAAGTAGGATTGCAAGAACTTATTTGTCGAACAGGATTTGTTGTAAGCATTCCTGTAACACTTGTACATGTTGTCGTCGGTGTACTATGAATTGTACTAGAATTTGCCAAATTGAAAGCTAGCACTGTATGACTAGTTGCACTCAAAGGTAAAGTTGATGAACCTGTATTTGATGAACTACCACTACCACCAGAAAAACTTCGAAGAGACATCATCAAACTTGAATTCAAAGATGAAGAAGTCACTGTAGTATTTGACTGCATGGATAAATCAGATTGAGCTTGAACAATTAATGATTGTGAAGATTGAATAGCAACAACATTGCCACTGGAAGGAGACATGAAGGAGACATTTGGATTCACTGTCAACCCTGACCATACACTACTACCTGTATTCGCTGTAGATGGTCGTGTTGAAAGTGTTCCAGTTTGAGATAGACATGTCGGGAAAGCTAAAACACTACTATTTCCAGAAGTAGATATAGTACATGTAGACTTGGTAGTAGCGCAAACTGTAGATGGTGGCGTAATCAAACGAACAGTAGTAGCTGATAGCGGTGCGGCAAAATTAACCAATTTCGCTGTAAGATAAAATCAGACATAAAAATTTATCAGTCTTATATGATGTCATCACACTTTGCCGATATATGTGATACCAATGACGGACCTATGCTTTTATGCTAATCAGTACGAAGATTTGGAACCCAAAGTGATCAAACCATTAAACTGTATCTTGTTTGCTTGAAGAGGTGAGAATATTAAAACTCTAGTAAACGAAATAAGTGTATTCTTAATTTTTGTAGATAACTGAATGTAAATCAATTTTCACCTAAATTTTTTACGATGATATTTTGAATGCGACAACTGAATAACTGCTAACAAATGTTACTGATAGATGATAAGACACTTTATTATTATTTGTGCTGTCCTGTTGGTTAAGGCGTTAAACTTTCAGATATTAACTCCACTTACTTCAGTTTGATCGGTCAGTCACATAAGTTCAGGTTGCCATACCACATTAGCACAGAAACGCAATTGTCAGTTCAAATCCAAGAGTGCTAGAGATAGTAGATGTATTAGTGGTAATGTAGAGTATTAGGGATCGAAGATATTATTCAAAAGTCATAATGCAGTGAGATGACTTTAGTAAGAGAAAGAGGTGATGACGAATTCAGAAGACTAAAATTTTCGATAACACAGAGAGTAGATGCACCTGCACCATTGCAAACGATTGTCAGGCATGTCGTTCAAGGTCTCTAACCATCGATGACCCCAATCACGTAGCCTACACTACCAACATGACTCAGTCCATTTGTCAGTGACTTCATGGATTTGTGCCATGTTTCGGTTTAGTCGCCCCTAGCTTTCTTCCGACGTACTCCTACACCATAAAACAAAGCTTGTTGAGGTAGTCGGTGGTTGGTGATCGGGCATTCGTAACACATGTCCCAACCATCTCAACTGATGAAGTTTCAATACTTCATCTATTGATCTTTCATCCTTACCTAGTACTCGTCTCCCAACTATAGCATTGCTTACTCGGCTGTCTCAGGATACGCGAACAATGCTTCGAAGACATCAATAATTGAATACTAATCGTCTACGAATATCCTCTATTCTTACCGGCCATGTTTCCCAACCATAGAGTAGGGCGCGGAACGAATTTCAGTTTGAGAAACAGACCAGTATAATTACTCATCACAATTAAAATGTAGTTCATACTCAAGTACTTAATGAGTGAGTTCTTAAACAAGCTTTCATCTTCGAAAAAAAAACTTTGCGGTATAATGTTTTCCCTAACAAAGCACTCTACAATAAATGCACAAAAACTCTGATATACGGATTTTCGGTTTACGATTAATTAATTAATTACTTTTTCTATTCATTTTATTCTCAAAACTATAAATAGATTATGATTTTGTAGAAATTTGAAATCGTATTGAAAGATATTATCGTTAAGTTAAACAGTTCAAAAAAAATTGAAATCTCCTCAGAAATCAATGGGAATATATACTCAACATATGTACTTACTTTTTGATGTTTGTGGAGACTGTGTATTTATTTGGTCATGTAAAATGATAGTGGAATTCGATAAACTAGTGAAACTGGGATCAGATGTACTCATCTTACTAGGAGAAATAGAGGTGGTAATCGGAGTTGTAGGATTTTCCATTAAAGATGATGGGTTTGAGAGATTCTGTGATTTATGAATAAGTACACGCGGTGTAGAGCAGAGAGTAGAACTCATGAGTAAACTACCTGATACACAAGAAGTCGGTGGTGGAGGGAGGTTTATAGCAGTTACACAATGTGACCTTTGAGATTGAAGTGATAGCGCAACACTTGTTGTAGGAGTTTCAAACACCAGTGGGCAAGCAGATGAATTCACTGTTGCAGTTGTAACCATAGCGTTACATTGAGTTGAAGTGCGGGACGCGAATCTTTAAACGAAAAGTAGACGAATATAAAGGTGAAAACTACTATATTTTTAACTAGTCAAAAGAAACTTTACAGTAGAGACTTTTTGGTGCATAAATATGAAGATAGGCGTGAAAAAGCAAATAAAAGCGATTCGCCGACGTACTAAAGGAGTGCCGTACCAAATTAAATTGCCAACTGGTTGTATGAAAACCGGATTTTCTGAAATTACATTTGACTAGCTAAAAATTTGCAGTATGTATAAGGTAGACAATAAAAGGTGATCTGGTATTCAAGGTTCGTCAAACCTTGGTATACCGAGTATGCAATGGAACAGCTGAACTTAGTTATCGGACACACAAACATTATATAGGATATCTTAAAACTAGTTCCATACGAACTAATAAACACGGTTAAGCAGAATTTATAATCCCATGACTGCGAATGTCTTCGCAGGTTAGCGAAAATCTGAGGCTATTGAATGTACATCTGTGCCAACAAAAAGCTGTATGGGACATTAACACAGTAAACTGTCACTTTATTGCAGTCGAATGCCATTGGCTTCTGGGGTACTTCACAAAAACGACTAAAACATATAAATATTAAATAAATGTTCATTAAAGGCAAATATATCACAAAGTGAGCAAACCTTAAAGCAAGTGTTGGTTGTATGTGGTTTGGAGTTTGTGGAGATATGACAACAGAAGCTATCGATGGCGAAGAAGAACAGTTTTTATTAATTAATGAAGCAACTAGTGGAGTAGAAGCCGTTGTAACACCAGATGTACTTGGACGTGAAGGACTGTTTAAAACATTCGATACTGACAAACAAGATGCAGTAGTTGTAACATTTGGGTGCAGAAAGATGCCCTGACTTGATGCTGATGCAACACTAGATGTTCCTGAATAATTTCCCAAGTGAAGTTGTAATGGCGTCGGGGCACTCGATGTTGATGGGGGCAATGAAGAGGCAGCAGCCAGTATCAGAGGGAAAAACTGATTGGTAGAATTAATAGGGGATGAAACGGATGTGGCCGACATATGTGGCAGAGGAGCGTTTGCACCAGATGCAGTGGTAAGAGTAGTAGGTTGTATTATTGTTTGATTTATCAGGCCGGATAGAGGCTGCTGGACGCTAAGCAATACACGTGGGAAAAATGGTACTGTTTTAGATGAATTAGAAGGGGTTTGCAAAATGGAAGTACATACATGAGTCGAACGATCCGGTTCTAGAGGGAATTCACACAAAAAAGTAAGCAAAACAATAGAAAAGCTACATCGTAAGGGTGAAAGTATGGTCTTTCTTTTATGAATATTATAATTTGAAAAGAAAACTTCTATAACTAATAACGAGAAATACATATAAAACGCAAAAAGAGATATAAGAATCACAGTCCAACTTAAATCTGTTTCCAAGAACACATATAGAACTAACATAACTTACGTAGAAAAATAGATATTTTAAAAAATTTAGACATATCACGGAAATGCTTCGTGTGAATTATCCATAATTTTGTGACTAAGCACCAAATAGACAATTCATTTACAAATATTTGTCAAGGAAGATTAGCCCTCAAAAATAACAGTACTTTCTTTGCACAACGCTTGTACGTCAATCAGATGTGATCTATCCTTATTGACATAAAGGGAGAATGAATAGAAAACAGTCTGCTTTACTTACTGCATACTTTAGAGTCGAGTTAGATAGTGAACTCAGTCTGACCTAATTGATTGGAATTTATCTGATATATGACAGTATCCATTAATAATTACATTACACTATTTAGTGAGGTCTTTAGCTGCAGTTATTCAGTCAGTCAGTCAGTTGCAACGTAGAACTTCGTACGTATGTACATAAGTTTATGTTGCCATACCACAGCACAGAGACGCAAATGTCAAATCAAATCCCATAGTGATAAAGATAGTAGAGGAATTAAAGGTAATGAAGAAGACTAGGGTTCGAAGATATTATTCAAGAACTATAATTCTGTGACATAAAGCTAGAAAGACAAAGGTAGAGGTGCTGACGAATCCAGAAGATTAGGATTTGAGAGAGCTCAACGAATGGATGCACTTACGCCATTGCAAACGATTTTGAGCCATGTCGTTCAAGGTCTCTAACCATTGGTGACTTTCGTCTCGCGGACACCAACCAAATAGCCTACATCTACCAACATGACTCAATCCACTTGTCAGTGATTTCATGGATTTCTGTCATGTTTTGCTTTGGCCACCCCTAGCTTTCTTCCAACCTACTCCTACACCACAAAACACAGCTCGTCAAGGCAGTCGGTGGTTAGGCATACGTAACACATGTCCCAACCACCTCAACTGATGAAGTTTCACCACTTCATCTATTGGTCTGCTATCCTTTAGCTGCAGTTACTTCGTTATCAGAATACAACTCCATAAATCTCGAAACTATGTTCAGTTATTTTGATGCCGCCATAAATAATGTGACAGAGCATTTCATAGATAAATTTCGATGAGTTTAAACAAGTGTAAATCAATGCAAGACAGTGAGTGCTATAACAGGAACACATGATGAACGCTTCTCAATTCCAGCCTGATGACTAACCTACGAAACCATTATCTTACAATCAACTATGCTACAATATTCTCTTAATTTAATGTGTTCACTGATTTAGGTTATAATAAAAACAATCAGAAAAGCATAGTCCAGTGTTCAGTTTTGTTGATTTGTTATTGATTAGTTATGAGCTTGAGTCAACTGATCAGTTTTAGGTATCAGTTATCAGTTAGGTTAATTTTAATATAACCTGTTGATCAACATTGTGATTTTCTTTTAGAGGCTAAGTGCGTGTCAAATCACCGTGCATGACAGTACACTTTCCTCTAGAAATAGAGAACAAATAGAAGACTTGATCGAAAAAGGTAGGACGTTAATTATGGTGCAGTGTGGTTAACTATTAGTCAGTGCCTCAGTAAACACACAGATTCCAAGTCAAGATATAGCTACATGCTTGTACAAGCGTTCATCATAGTAAAGTCAGGTTTGTATGAAGGTCGAATAATTTGGTTGTAAAAATATAGTTGCTGCTTAAACTAAGAGGCTAAAGAAAGGTCTGCTTTTGATGTTATTGCCAAGTTAAAAGATGTTTGTGTCTCCAGGGAGGGAGCACATAATCATAAGCGACAGAAACTTGAATTTAGACATCAGAAAGAATAGAAAGCAATTACGGATGTTAGACAGAGGAAACGAACGGATAAATGAGGTACAGGTGATAGGTAGGTGTTCAGCCTTACCACAGATAATTAGCGCTAAAATGTTGGTAGACATCGAGTTAAAAGACGATACTGTGATTCACTTTCACACTAGATGAATAAAGAGCTTTACTGGTTCCTAGTTAACCTGAAGTTTCTGGCTATTCATTAACACCATGAAGACATTTTCCTACGATCACCGTTTTCAAACTTGGGAGAGTACAACCTTAAGCGTAGAAGAGCACCGACATTTGGATGAGTAACTTCAGATAACTTTCAAAACAACGGCCCGACAATATCACTGAAATTGGATTGCAAAAAATCGAGATAGAATTCTGGACGACTGGCTGCAAAAGCTGAGTCCAAAAATTAAAATAACCTTCCATTAATGAAGAAAGAGGAATCAGATGTTTAGAGTATCAAAACATAACCACAGCTAGAAAACAGGAAAACCCAAAATATATGTCGTCACATATACGATGGTGGATTTGTAGGCTAAATATTTACTCTTCGATAGATCCAAGAACATAAAGAAGTTATATTTATTGTAGATACATATAAATCGTGGTTGAATCTTGATAATAATACCATTCGTGGGCACTAACGTAGGTCGAACTACCAGTTTTTCTAACTACTATAGACTGTGAAACTTGACATAAAAAGCAGCCTGGTTAAAGCACAAAACAGGGGTTTGTAATTTTAGGGTATGTTGACAAGAAGCAAAAGCTAATATTCAATTTGACCATGAGAACCGGAAGTATAATTTTAAAACAATCGGAACCTATATAATCATTCAAATGGCGATAAGACTGTAGAACTTAATCTAGTTTGATCAAGGCAACCAACAGGTTCGAGAACATCAATCTGCAATATGAATAAGGGAAGTTATTGAGAGTAAACAATGAAGTTAGACGTAGCAGTTATCGATGTACAACAATCATTAAAGAAAATCGAACAAGCTTGAACTAACCTCTAACTAGTTTTCCTGCCGGCAAAGCTTGATTGATATCGTTGTCAATATCCATAAATAACTGGTATGAAGTTACTTAAGGTGGACGTCCATTATTATTAATCCAAACATCCGTAACCCAAAAACCGTGAATGCAAGTAGCCTGAACATATTGGCAGTTAATATTGTTAATAGACTCTGAGGATAATGACTGGACGATTTCTGACAACTCTAGTTTTTGTCAGAAACAAGTCCTACCCACAAAAGCTAAAATCGAAAGCATCTTTGACCTTCACAACCCACTTGAAAAAAACAAACGATTACTTCAATTACCAGACTGAACAATTTTTAAACTATAAACTCCCTATATGAAAATAAAGCGACAGTTTTCCACATGAAAATTTCAAATCATAACAGCGATATGTACCTTCCAAGAAAAAGTGTATTAAATCTTTGGACATTGAACAACCTTACTTTTGCCTGATCGTGTGAGTATTTTTATTATTCCTTGATACTTGGATCCGCGGAGTAGGATTGGATTTTTAATTTTTGATTGCCATGGGTTGAGATACGAGCCTTCAAGAAATTGAAGGCCGAAAAAAAAAGTGAAAATGGGAATATAAGAATTACTAAAAGACTGATCCTTTCACTATTAACAAAAATGAAGGATGTCTCTTTAACTTTCTAAACTGCCAAGAAGAGGAACAGATTACACTTTTAATCTGCTTGATAAATCTGGAGGTATAAACCTAGCTAGTTGACAATGAATTAACTGACCGCTTCAGTCCTCAAACTGATTAAAATGCTTATTCTAATGGCTATTCTAAACATTTATCCGAAAATATCAAAATTTACGAAAGATAAAGTTTTATTGTTCCTGTACGTTCGCAAGGCAGAAGAAGATCAAAAAATAACGCTATGTTTTCAGTCAATGACAACTTAACATCGGAATAAACAAAAGCTATGGAATGTAATGTTAGATAAGGTAAAATATTCGACGTTCAAATACATAGTGAAGAAGAAAAAATATATATTCGAAATCGAGCAAAAAAATCATCAATTCAAAATCCTAGCCACATATACTTGCACCCATTTGTCTGTTCGTAGTAGTTACTGGACTTGGTTCGTTTTTCACCGTTGCTGTCGCTAATTGTTGGAACTCGCGTTTCCGTGATTCTATGGTTTTCGAAGGACTTATGCTTATTGGCTGTTCATTACGTTCGATAACTCCTCCTAGAACCCTCTAAGTCTGCTGCCGTTTCCAATCACGAATAATGGAGGAGAACTAGTTTTGGCGCCCCCATCCCACCAAATAACTAACTGGCTATAAAAAGCAGTTGCACTGATGCTGTCCAAACATGCACAAAAGACATTGATAGGATGGGAGTCTCATGGACCCAGGATCATCAAAGCATCCTTCAAAACAAAGAAAGAGGACATTATAATGAACGTCATCCAATGTTATGCACCTACCAATGACTACAATTACGAAGCTAAAGATCAATTCTACAAGAGGCTGCAGTCAATCGTTGAGAGATGCTCATGAAAGGAATAGATGATTCTAATGGGTGACCTAAGTGCTAAGGTCACCATTGACATTATCGGATATTAAGACTTCGACGGGAGACAGGGACAAGAAGAAAGGAAGGAAAATGGTGGGAGATTCGCAATCCTATGTGCGTACAATAAAGTGGTTACAGGTGACACAATAATCACATACAAATGCAAAAACAAAGGGACATGGATTTAACCGCATCACATTATCAGGAACCAAATCGACCATTTCTGCATGAGCAAGATGTGAGAACCAAAGGATGAGCTGATGTTGCCTCAGACCACCACTTGCTAGTCGCCAAAATGAAATGGAATCTCTAGAAGCGCCGGAAAACGATTAGACAGAATCACCCAAGTTTAATAAGACGTCTCTTCGTGATATCGGAAACCTCAAAGAATTCAAGATAAACCTCAGAGAAATCTTCCGGACCTTGTACGACCTACTCAATGGGAAGGACATCACCATGATTAACAAATGAAAAGGGATAAAGGAGGAAATCACTTCAAATAACACGATGTTCTGGGCCACAGGAAGTAACATCAAAAGGAATGGATCTCCGTTGATACTCTTGATAAGATACAAGAAAGGATGAAGAGGAAGGCAGCAATCAACATCAACCGCACAAAGGCACAGAAAACCAATGAACAAGCCAAAAACACAGAGGAAGACAGTCAGGTGTAGAAGAGCACCAGAGCCTAGTGATCAACTGGATTATGAAGACGTCAGCATCTGGAGGGTGTCAAATGGGGAGCTAAGACGCAGCTAGACTTCGCGGATGATCTGGCTCTTCTATCACACACGCAACAACAAATGCAAGAGAAGACGACTAGTGTAGCTGCAGCTTCTGCAGCAGTAGGTCTCAACATTCATAAAGGAAAAAGCAAAATTCTGCGATGCAACACAACATGCACCAACCAAATCACACTTGATGGAGATGCCTTGGAGGACGTTAACACCTTTACATATCTGGGCAGCATCATCGACAATCAAGGTGGATCCGATACAGATGTGATGGCACGGATTGGCAAAACAAGGGCTGCATTTCTACAGTTTAAAAATATCTGGAACTCCAAACAACTTTCAACCAAAACCAAAATCAGCATTTTCAATGCTATTGTCAAGACAGTTCTACTGTATGGAGTGGAAACTTGGAGAAATACCAAAGCCATCATCCAGAAGATACAAGTGTTTATGAACAGTTGTCTACGCAAAATACTTCTTATTCGTTGGCCAGACACCATCAGCAACAACGTACTGTGGGGAAGAACATACCAGATTCCAGTGGAGGAAGAAATCAGGAAGAGGCGGATAGGACACACATTACGAAAAACACCCAACTGCATCACAAGATAATTTCTCACTTAGAACTCTCATTGCAAAAGGAAATGAGGAAGGCCAAAGAACGCATTACGCTGAGAAATAGAAAAGGAGAAAAACAAACAAAAATTAAACAGAACTGGAAAGGAAAAATTCAGGACAGAGTTTTTTGGTGAAAACTGGTGGGCGGCCTGTGCTCCATTGGGGGTAACAGACGTAAGTCATGTCCGACTCGGTCTAAGCTTATTACATCGGTTTTTCCAGCTCTGTCTACCTTGGTAGTTTTATGGTTTCTTCTGATCACTTAACAATAATAATAATGATAATAATTTATTCTCAAATAACAAACATGTTACAAGAGACATGCCAACTTACAGGCAAGATCAAAATGTTAAGATTAGCAACATATTTTTTTTTAAAACGTTATACAGTTACTGAAACATTTCACAAGATTCATTGTTTTCTTAAAGATGGAATGTACAATGCGAGTAATTGGCGCAAGTTACGAAGGTTGCGTTACGACAATCATCTTATGGACCGATAAACGATTCATGGTACAGATGGGTTTTCATATAACAAGAATTGATGCGGTAAATGTACAAAGGTCTGGTTAATATTCATCAGTTAATGATTTCACAGGTTTTTGGTAGGGTAATCAAGTCTGCTGCAAATATTCAGACTAATATATGAGGAGTGGAATAAGGTTCTGAAAAAAGAGGAATCAAGAAAACAGGACGAGGAGTGGAACAGAAAATAGTCTTGTTCAAAGCCGAACAATGGCTTCGCACATACGTTTATGGATAAAACAAAGGTATGTTTACCCAGACATTTTTAATATCAGAACACTACACCTGCACGTATGTAGGTTAATGAAGACAATTCATTAGTGAGATAACTAACGGGAAGTTAGTCGAATTAATAGAGGAAATTCAGAAGAACCAAGTTGTTAGTAATAATGTTGATTTACAAAATATAATAAAGAGGCTCAGTGATATAACTTTTTCTTTTATTTATTCTTTTTATTTTTAACTCAGAGGCTATGAATGAGCTCTTTTTTAGTATAGTTGACCAGACAAGCTTGTAATAGGATTCCTCGGTAGGAAGTAAAAACCAGTGCAAGGTTACAGACATGAGTTGTAGACGAGGTTAACAAGGAAAAGTAACATCAATATCACTGATTTGTTACATCCTGCTCTATCGTAAGGAGCCGTAAGCAAACAAAATGTTCTGTCACACAGACATGGGTAGATTGTGGTTATCGCCCCACTGTCATGAATGCTGGTCAGATACACCAGCCTCCCCCCTTTTGTGATGTTAGGCTCTCTTACGTTTAATGGTTGATTGTAAATAACGGTCTCTGGTCTTCTCTCAAATTTTTTTGTACACCTTATCGGAATTAACATTCTCTACTAGTTCCAACATTACAAGCAGTCCAGACAACTTTGCCAGATAATATATCCACATAGCATATCACACTGATTTTAAGTAAACGAATGGTATGATTTGTAAGATGAGTCAACTAATAGGTAGTTTGGAAATAGGAAGGACAGGGAGCTGGAACGAGGAGAAAGTGAAAAAAAAGAGTTGAAATAATGTTAAAAATTAATGAGTAAAGCGATAAGTTGGTAAGCAGGCAAGGTGTTTGGATGTTAATGAATGGGGGAAATAAAAATTAGTTAAACTGTTAATATGTAAATAAGAAGATACTCACAATGATACACGGTGTTTGAGTTCCTTGTAATGTAGAGTAGTTGATCAGCATCTACAGGCTTTTCAATTTGTCTGTCTACTAGAAATAAAAACTAAAACTGCTTTGAAGATATGAAAATAATAATCGGAATTTAAATTCGGAGAAAAGTCACGGGTAACACTTCAAAGGCTTAACCTATTACTGTTAGTAGGAGCAAGGGGATTCGTCTATCATTTCATGATACATGTATGGGTGGTAATGAGAACACAATGTGTTTATAGTCTATAATTCGTTTCTGAGGTTTATCTAAATATTTGGTGGACCATAAAAGAGTGCCTGGGGACTTTGTGTGAGTTCCGGGAATAGCCGGTATATCTCTTTAGAGTCTAGCAACAGCATGACTAGTTTCTTGAACTTAGTGATTGTGTCACAAATACGGATAGTAATTGGTAACCTGTTGCACAGTAGACTGTATCGTATTACAAAGAAATTACAACGGAATGATTGCTTGTGTTTTGCCGTTAATAGTGTATATGCGTTGTTTCGAAGTCTGTAAGCAGTGTCGTGGTTCATATTTGGGCGGTATTTTACGAACGAAAGACCATTTATTAGTTTATAGAGGAGTATTAGGTTGTTTTTCAGACGACGGCGCCATAGAGGTTCTAGGGAAAGATGCTTGCATCTTTCTGTGTAGTCGAGGTTATGGCTCAATCTGAGCAGTTGCCGGGTGAAGCTTCTTTGTACATTTTCTACTCGCATTTTGTCCATGATATTCATGTTTGAAAATATGAGTGAACAATATTCAAGTGTGAGCCTTATACAGATTTTGAAGAGAGTAAGCTTAGCCTCACTTGTGAAGAAGTTCTTGTTTATAAACCCAATTAGTAGTCTAGATTTAGAGATAATATTTGAGGCATGTTCTTCGAATTTTAGGCTTTTAGAGTAACTAATACCAAGGTCACGCGCTGATATGAGTGTCTGAACCCTGCATTTTTGTAAGTAGACTGGTGTATCAAGGTGACGCTTGCTAAAATGCATTATGCCACATTTGTTGTGGTTAAACGGCGGTTGCCATGTCTCGCTCCAGGTACTTAAGTTATCAAGATCACTCTGAATCTTAGCTATATTTTCGTCCAGATCTTCAGGCTTATAGCTGTATACTATTTTCAGATCATCAGCATATAAGTATGCTCTTCCAAATTTAATAGTGTTACATATGTCATTTATGTACATTAGAAACAAGAGTGGACCTAAGACACTTCCCTGGATAACCCCACTGGTTATTGGTCTTGGTGATAAAAAACAGTCGTTGTACTTTGTCATTTGTTGTCGCCCATTTAGGAATGAAGCTAACCATGAGTGTAGTGGGTTGATGATTCCAAATGACTTTAGTTTAAGTAGAAGCCTTTTGTGTGGGACTTTATCAAAAGCCTTAAAATAGACCATCGTAGGTCAGCTGTAAGGGATGTCACAAACTAAGTAAAGACTTCGACAGTCTCCTACCCGAACACTCCTCATTCCTAATTCATAATAATGACCAACACTTCGTTGTGGAAGATTCTTCATCAATTAATGAAGCACTAAATTTAGAAACCCCAGTTTTACTCTAATGGTCGTGCCTGTAAAATAGTGGCGGCCGTGATAGAAATTGTCAGTAATATACCCTTATATTGGTATGAGCCAATTTTAAAAACCAAAATGTATATATGTTCATAGTTGTCCCCATATATCGATAAAAGTGAAGGAAAATCATAAGTCGTACATACTTCTCCCTACAAGTTGCTGCAACTTAGGATGTTCTCCCAGTCCAAGTGACTGCAGTTTCACCACTATGGACAGCCTTAAGGAGAGACTTGATAAAAAAGTAGCGACATACGGATCACCATCTCCCTCGTGGATACAATGTACACGATGCATGTCTTGAGACTCACTAGTTATGATCGTCTCCATATTTCCAGATAACTAGCTAAATCTATGTCGCTTATTATCTGTTTCCTCTTCTTTGCTTACACTTCGGTCCATCTTCACTACCAATTAATAGGTTAAATTATCCATTTACTTACTTATTTTTGGTATCTCTTTATTAACATTTGATGTTTATATTTATTACTCTTCAAACTGTAACTAACTAATTTTCGGCCTGGTAACGTGATTGCCGCTGGTCTCCAGAAAACTTACTGCCCGAAACAAACGTTTTCATTCAAATCACGGGAAATTCTAACTAACAATCAACTGCCTACTGACCACAATAAGTACAGCAAAGTGGTTTTTCCCCAATCAATTGGACACTACCAAATACCTGGAACCGTACCAAAAGAACGGGAATCGAGCGCGAAAAAATCAATGGGTCTATACCAGCTCATGGAAAAGATATTGGATGGCGTTCGACTGCCAGTTGTTCACGTAGACGAAGCTGAAGGGGTCGTCCACTTTGTTGTATGTAGTGTTTCTACATAGGATCAAGAAACTCTGTCCTGGGCTTCCCACAGAACTGGAGAGGGAAGCCCAGGACAGAGTTGGTTGGAGAAAACTGGTGAGCGGCCTATGCTCCATTGGGGGTAACAGGCGAAAGTAAGTAAGTAAGTATCAAGAAACACACGAAAGAAGGATACAGCCAAAATAAAGGTGCAGACGACTGGTCAGGGGTCAATAACAACCAATCGAGGTCAACAGAGCGAATTACGTGAGGAAATTCTAAAAAAACGTTTGTGCTGATGTTGATCAGAAAAACAATTGAAACCTTAGAACCGAATTCACAGCTCAGAGAATAAGACACTACGATCGTCCAATTGAGCTGCAAACTTTACCCACCATCTCATATAAGTTTGGTCTTGTGATGGCAGCACCTAGGAAATCCACTAAGCAGAGTATTTTTGAAGGCAGACTTTGATATCAATAACTAGTAGTGAGGTTTGCTTGAACTTTTGTTTATTATTTTCAATTACGAATGAGTCTCGTACTTGAATCAACAGCTCGGCAAGTACGACCATCTAGTAGCTAGATTCAACTACGGTGGATTTGCTTGTTGACCACTGTCAATTACCATGCAAATTGATTACGCTTCAGTTGGAGTTCTTAACTATCTAGACCACATACGTTCCACCAGTTTTAATTAAATATGAGCACTGCATTAGATAACCTCCTGAATCTTTCGTAGACCTAAACATATATAAACGCTTCACTTACATCCCCTATCACTCTTCTGCAGTGGTGCGCTGTAGGCATCATCCAGCCCTCGGGGTGATTAATAGACCTACGTGCTGTAGACAGTGGTTAATCAGAGATAGCACAGCCGGATTACTCCTTCTCAATCTGTGTGGAAACCCGAACGACCGCCCACAACAGTGATACCTAGTCTGTGAAATGTTATGCACGAAAGATTCAAGGGGTCCTACATTCTTCACAGCCGAGCTGCTGTACATACCCCGCGACGTCAGATCTTTCTTAGAATGACCAGTTGCGAACAATAATACCCCAGCGCACACACGCTGAACAAACACAACTAGCTACACCTATGCATATGAGCGTTGAAAACATTTTGAATTCTGCCAAATCCTCCCGAGACATTATTAATGGCCAGGGCTAACTCGTAGTGAGCCGTGCCACATTTCTCATAAGAGGAACCACTCCGTTATACCTTACACTTGGTAACAACCCTTTCTTCTATACATCCTCTGGTTTTCACAACTAAACACTTATCGTTTTTTCGGTTGATGAAAACAGTTACACATTGCTATTCTGTTTTTACAATTATATGGTGTTTCTCTGACTGACATAGACTTCAGTCAACTTAGACCGAGTATCTCATCTTATCAATTTCGCCGTACTTAGGTACACATGTATTTGGAAGAACATTTCAAAATTCCGAGTAGATAGCAGTGACCCATTGGGAAAAAGACAAAACTAGGAAATCGATTACCTCAAATAGCAAAAATACTAATCAATAAATATTGAAATCTCATTGTAATTACGTTTGACATTGAGTAGTAAGTATATTTAGAATTATGCAAACAAGTTACACTTTCAAACAGACTATTTGCACAGATATACATTCATTCATTCACCGAAGCATTGTTGTAGACAATTTTGTTTTGATATCTAAACTAAATTATTGTTCTTATTATGTACAAAATAATTCTTCTTTTTCTTTCTTCTATTCGTCCAATTATAAAATAAAAAAGGCAATCCACATTCCGAGACCAATTGTACCCAATGAAAACCTTTACAAAGCAAAAAAAACGAAACAAAGGGGAAGTTACTAGATTTATTTTATTTCCATTAGTTTAACTTCACTACTGAGCTACATGAAGCATCTTATCGATGCAACATCACCACCACTCCCCCTAGGGGGAATCCTTGAAAAATTGCACATTACAGAGCAAATACTCAGATTCGTGCATACTTTTTTCTCATTGCGACTCGTCGCAACTTGGAATACTCTCCCAACCGAGGTGATTACAGCCACCTCAGTCGACAGCTTTGAGAAGAGACTTGATAATCACCTAGTCACATATGGATTATCATCTCCCTCTCTTGGACAAGCTATTCCTGATGCATATCTTGAGAATTTGCTAGTTGTTATCAATGCCATCTCCTCAGATCACTTAATTAATCTATCTCGCTTATTATCTCTGTTTCCTCTCCCTCGCTAACACATCGGTCCTCTCACACTATCTTCACTAGCAATTAATAAACTAAATTATCTATTGATTTACATAGTTCCGAAATCTTATTCACATTAGCATGACAATTTTATCCTTATATTTTTCTCCATATTGCAACTAAATGATCTCCGGTTTGGTAATGTGATAGCTACTGGTATCCAGAAAACCTACTGCCCTGAAACAAACCATTTTCATTCAAATCACGAGACATACAAACTCATAACCAACTGTAAACTGATTAGAATTAGACAGTTGAGTGGCTAGACCCCCATTCATTGGACACTACCAAACACCTGAAACCGTACCGAAAGAAAGTGACTTAACAATCGTTTTAAAATACCTATGCATTATCTCTTTATAGTAGAACTTCAGCTTATCAGTACCTTTAGTTTAGTAATAGTAATACAGTCAGTCGGTTATAAGTAACATCGAATCTGATACACACTTATATTTATATCCGTTGAAGTTGCCACACTACATAAGGAAATTGCGGTGAAAGTAACTGAGACATAAATGGTAGAAAAATGTTTTGACAGATTTCATGCCATTTTAAAGGCATGGTTATGCTCTCTTAGCTCAGAGAACCGAACTGCAAAAACGAAGCTTAATTTGTAATTTATGACAGTGTAACACAATAAACAATGAATAGAAAAAAAATAAAAAGATATTATTGATGATTGAAAGTTTCAAAACGATTGATTCTATTCGCGAATATAAGTGAACACATACATCTCCTAGTTAGTATAAAATATAATGTGATTTAACATAATTTGAATGAATTGACATTTGTATTAGACTCTTCTGCATTGTCAATAACCAATTGACTGCTAACTAAATAAAAATTGATTAGACAAGTGAATGAAGGATTATTGAATAATTATTACTCAACTATCTCTCTCTATTCATCCATCATACACTATCAAATTTGAACCTGATTCTCAGCTTGTTCCACAAGTTAGCACAAAACTTTGGCAGAAAAAACATTACGATGTAACGTAACGTAACGCAACGTAAGTTGACGCGATAAAACAATCAAATATTGTTACCATGTAATATTCATTCAAAAAGGCAGAAAATTACAACAAACACACATACACACACACATAAACACAAATAGATTTACCAAGTGAAAATATACGATGCATGTGCATTTCGTAAAGCAACACGAGTTTGTCCACCGATTGGACCACCGACTGTAGTTGATTCTGATAAAAAAATATGCAAAAGAAAAGAGACAAACAAACAATGACGACTAGTTTTAAATTGTTTGTTTTAAAATAAGAAGAAAAAATAAATTTTATCACTGCAAAATTTCAATTATTTTACACAATTATTGTATAGAAAGTGTTATGTTGTGGTGTGTGCTACTACTTATACGAACGATATAAGTAGTATAAGAAGGGACGTGAAAGAAGAAGTCTCACGGTCAGAAGAGGAAAACGGAAAGCAAATGGAGCAAAAGCCAGAAGTAAATGGAGTACCAACAGGAAGGAAAGGAAGCAACAACAGGAATGGAAGAAGGATGGAGCGTTGAAAGTCACGACTCAAAGATGGTGTGCGAATAGAGTCTTCAATGTAATGTTTTCGATTTTAATTGACTAAGAGTGTAAATTTGCATAACAATACAATCTTCCGCGCCTGCCTCAGTCTTCTCAATGTGAAATACAGTAAGCTGGTACTTGTTAGTTGAGTGTCCTAATGACTAATTGAGCCGAATGACTGCATATTGAAGAGCTTCAATCATATTTTTAGATTACATTTATCAAAAAATAAAATACTAAGCTTCTGGGAATTCAATACCGGCAAAATGATCGTTTAGAGATACAAAACTGTTATGCTCATCACTTGATATGCTTGAAACTACTATGGGTTCACCTTAGTCGATAAATGAGAACGTGACAATGAACCAGTGACACGACAGGCTACTCTGGTCGGTTGCTCTAAAGGAACTAACGAAGAAGTCTTGGCATAGGGTAGAAAGTGTATTCTATGAATACTCAGCAAACACAATGGATTCAAGCACACAAATCGCGTTTATTTATACATCACAGAAACGTCCTTGGGAGAGTCACAAAAATAGCACACTAAAATAACACAACAACCAATCACAACCAAGGATTTTCCTGGTGGAAAATGTGATCTCAAGGTCAACTGATCAGTCCATGAATAAAATCCAAAATGAAAACATGCATCAAGTGAGTTTTGGGGATCTAACGTCCCAAACATCTGCTAATTAGATGCATCAATATATAGAATGCATTAAGTTCATTTTTGAAAATTATTGATTACATTTCAATAGGCTGGAGAAAATAACCATACTGCTGACAAATCAATCTAACTTGGGGGCTTTATTCATTTGACTAATATTGTATCAAGAAATCAATTTTTGGCAACAATACTGACTATCCTGTTCGTTAAAAACATATACTACGGTTCAAAACACTTCAAACTATAATAATCAAGATTCCAGGTGTTATATTGAAATAAGCGAATAAGGAAGACGAAATATGATAAATCAATTTATTTGAAGACACAGCTACTAGCCTAAAAGTGTACATCTTCTTCAACATATTTTCTAGTCTTTAAAAACACTCTTATCTCTCTCTATACATTCAGATAAACACAGTCTTCGCTTCGTCAGCAACTTCAGAGTAACAGTCTGCTGCCCTTCCACTACATACTACTGATTTCCTAGGAGCTTTTTCACGAAACACTTTTCATAATTATTCCGAATTTATTATTAGTGCTAGATTTTTCTAAAAACTCCATCTGGGGTGTCCTTCTAGGGGGTTACTACTGCCGGCCCCAAGCCCGGATAAAGGAAGAGGATTGGGCATGGTGGGGATGAGGTTAGTGACTTCATCCGGTAGATAATCAACTCGCTACAAAAATAACTCTCCGATTGGTGGCCTATGCTTCATATTCACGGGTAACCGGAGTAAGTAAGTCTTGATTTGTTGTTTTTTACTAATCTAGCCAACTTTGTCAAGAGTTTCCAGCAAAACTAGGGGGAAAAAAACCCATAAAATAAATAAATGAATGAATTCATAAGTTATTCCCATTATGAAACTGTTGTTTTCAATTGGAAGAATGAAATAATTAACTGTCTGATTGTTACGCATGCACGTAAACACGTCAACTTGATATTTGCTTGAACTATTACGAGTTTACCCCTTAGTCGGAAAACGAAAGCGTGGATCGAGTATATCCGGCTACACGACATGCTACTCAAATCCGATAATACCAATCCCTATATTCAGTAAAAATAAGACTTGATATGAAGTAGAACCTGTATTCTACAAGCATTCGAAAAGTACGAGGTCCGAATCCAGAAGAGAATCAAGATCCCGGACTAGGGATTCGGAACCGGGTCCTGGTCATAAAATGTTACAAATAATGTTTATTTATACATGTTGGTCGAATAGGATACAGCATTGAAGTCTGTGACACTGATAGTTAAGATGACCAATTGGAAGCAACATTTGAAGTGACAATGATAGTCAGGACAACCAATATGAAACAACATTGGAGTATATGACATTGATATCTAGGACGACCATAAAACTGACCAGTAGGAATTAACCAATAGGAATCGACCAATAATTCTCTTAGGATATTGGATGAATGTCCTAACACTAATGCTGACTAGTAGTATCCAATGGTTATATCTAGCATAGACCGGTTCATTATGATCTGAACAATTGTTCTTGGCTTTAAAATGAAATTTTTTTAAAAAAGAAAAAGGGTTGATTGGGATGGCAGACCAATAGATAAAGTAGCGAAACTTCATCAGTTGGGGTGGTTGGGACATATGTTACGTATGGCTAACCACCGAGTGCCTCGACGAGCTACGTTTTACAGTGTAGGAGTAGGTTGGCCAAACCAAAACATGGCAGAAATCCATGAAGTCACTGACAAGTGGACTGAGTCATGTTGGTAGATGTAGGCTACCTGGTTGGGGTCCGTGAGACGAAAGTTAGAGACCTTGAACGATATGGCTCAAAATCGTTTGGAATGCCACAGGTGCATCCACTCTTTGTGTTCTCTCCAACTCTAATCTTCAGGATTCCTCATTATCTCTATCTTTCTCTTTCTAAAGTTACCACCTTACTGAACTATACTTCTTGAATCATATCTTCGACCACTAATATTTTCCATTACCGGTAATTCTTCTACTATCTCAACCACTATGGGATTTGAACTGACAATGGCGTCTCTGTGCTAATGCGTACATACAAAGTTCTACCTTGTAATTGACTTGACTTGATTTATGTTAGGATATTCATCCAATATCCTAAGAGAATTACTGGTCAATTTTATGGTCGTCCTGAATATCAATGTCACTTCAAATGTTACATCCTGTTGGTCGTCTTAACTGTCAATGCCACACAATTCGATGCTGTTTCCTATTCGACCAAAATGTATAAATAAGGATTATCTGTAACGTTTTATGACCAGGATCAGGACCCGGTCCCAGATCCCTAGTCCGGAATCTTGATTCTCTTCTGGATTCGGACCTCATTCAAGTCTTCTTATTTTAACTAAATATGGGGGTTGGAATAATCGGATTTGAGTAGCATGTCGTGTCGCCGGATATACTCAATCCACGCTCTCGTTTTCCGACTAAGGGGTAAACTCGTAATAGTTCAAGCAAATATCAAAATGACGTGTTTACGTGAAGGCGTAACAATTAACAACTAATCGCATACGAAAAAATAAATACCATTAAAATGAAGAATAAAAAAATCCATTTGTTCATTTATTCATTCATTCATTCATAACATACCATAATCAACATCAAGGAAAATTGGTAACGTTTTTAAATCACTAGACATTTGATCAATTTGTCGACAAGGATAACGAATATGTGGATTTTGATTTTCATGATCTAAACAAGTAAGAGGTTGAATTTTTGTGCCGAATAATCGAATTGGTGCCTATTAGAGCAGAATAAAAAAATAAAGAACAAATCGTTCTGTGTGGTGATGATGATGATCATGATCAGGTGACGAGTACATAATAAATAGAAAAAAATTGTCTCACTCATGAAGTTGGATTTACTGATTCTTCTTTTGTTAATGCCATTAACAGGCAAAGTGAAGACTAATGCTCATTATGCAAAATGAACTGATAAAAATTTAATCAGTAGTAAATAGTAGTGTTAGTGGGACATAGATGGAATTAAAGCATGGCTACGTTGCTACGCGTTTTTTTGGCAAGTTAAAAAGGACAGCTAACAAACTCTTTCGAGGTGAAGACCGGTGTCAGGCAAGGTTGCTTACTATCACCCTTTCTCTTTCTCCTGGTCATCGACTGGATTATGAAAACGTCAACATCTGGAGGGAAGCACGGTATCAACTAGACAGTTAGGACGCAGCTGAACGATCTGGACTTCGCAGATGACTTGGCTCTTCTATCGCACACTCAACAACAAATGCAAGAGAAGACGACCAGTGTAGCAGCAGCCTCTGCAGCAGTAGGTCTCAACATACATAAAGGAAAAAGCGAAATTCTCCGATACAACACAACATGCACCAAACAAATCACTCTTGATGGAGATGCCTTGGAAGACGTTAACACCTTTACATATCTGGGCAGCATCATCGACAATCAAGGTGAATCCGATGCAGATGTGAGGACGCGGATTGGCAAGGCGAGGGCTGCATTTCTACAGTTGAAAAATATCTGGAACTCCAAACAACTTTCAACCAAAACCAAAATCAGCATTTTCAATACAAATGTCAAAATAGTTCTACTGTATGCGGCGGAAACTTGAAGAACTACCAAAGCCATCATCCAGAAGAAACAGGTATTCATTAACAGTTGTCTACGCAAAATACTTCAGGTTCGTTGGCTAGACACCATCAGCAACAACGAACTGTGGGAGAGAACAACCCAGATTCCAGTGGAGGAGGAAATCAGGAAGAAGTGGTGGAAGTGGATAGGACACACACTACGAAAAGCACCTAACTGCGTCACGAGACAAGCCCTCACATGGAACCCTTAAGGCAAAAGGAAAAGAGGAAGGCCAAAGAATACATTACGCCGAGAAATAGAGAAAGATATGAGAGGAATGAACAAACATTGGACAGAACTAGAGAGAGTAGCCCAGGACAGAGTTGGTTGGAGAAAACTGGTGGGCGGCCTATGCTCCATTGGGGGTAACAGGCGTAAGTAAGTAAGTACGTTGCTACGCGCTGATTGGCTAATTTCCCACCCAATCAGCGCCTGATCGATACTTGGAGAACAGGGTAGAAAATTCTCGTATTGTTAGCTGCATGCTGATTGGCTAAATCTAATCCAGTCGATCGCGTGAATTTCTATCCAGAAGTTTCTCATGTAAATACTATAAATAGACTAACGTTGTATCTATTTTCGCCTTTGCCTTCGTATTTCCATTTAACCTTGCTATTTTGGAATATAATCTTTTCCTGTTCAACCGTGTTTTTTGATTCTTGGGAACCTGTCCAGTGTATTGTGGTCAGAGAATACTAAGTAATAGGATTTAGCTGGGAATTATATAAGCAAGCGTTACAACAAGTAGAAAACTTAAACACTGATTAATAGCCTATAAGTGAAATCTTAGGTACGGGATACAGAAGGTTCGATTGACTTTTGCCAATTTGCATCATCTATGGCGTAGGCGAGATATATGTCTGCTAATCAAAGGTAGAGTTTATTGTGCAGCAGTTCGTTCCGTCCTACCTTATGGCTGTGGGCTATAGCCGGTAAGAATGGAGGATGTTCGTCGGCTATTAGTATTCCGTCATAGGTGCCTCCGAAGCACTGCTTATATATCCTGAGATAATCAAGTACGCAATGCAATTGTTAGGTAAGGATGGCAAATCAATTGATGAAGTACTGCATCGTCATCAGCTGAGATGGTTGGGACATATGTTAGGTACACTCGAACACCGACTGCCTCGACGAGCGATGTTTCTGGTGTAGGAGTAGGTTGAAAGAAAGCTAGGTGTAGCCAGATCAAAACATAGCATAAATCTATGAAGTCACTGACTACTGGAATGAGTCATGTTGGTAAGTGTAGACCTTGAATGACATGGCCGAAAATCGTTTGCAACGAAGCAGGTGTATCAACTCTTTGTGTTATCTGAAAGTTTAGTCTTCTGAATTCCTTATCATCTTTATCTTTCTCTTCTCAAATCGATGTCACTGGATCATACTTCTTGAATAACATCTTTAAACCTTAATCTTTCCGATCACTGCCCCTATTTCTACTACATCTACCACTATGGGATTCGAATCGATAATTGCACCTCTGTGCTATTATTAGTTAAAATGTTAGTAGTGTTTTAATGTATTAGAAATTACCGAAAAACAGCACAAAAGCGTTAACGCATAAAATTTTCAGTGCACAATACAGTAACATAAAATCCTATTGGTTAGTAATATGATAGATACCTTTTCTTGATATCGTATGTAACCTGATAGTTCTACCACACCTTTGACCTAAAATTTAGAGAAAAAAAAGTACAAATGTACCACCATCACAATAAGTAAGTAAACAGTAAATATTTTATTCAATGATCAATATACATTGGGTTACAAGGCAGAACGCAACATGAACGCAACAATATATAACAAAGTAATATTTTACATCAAATGCAAACAATCGATAAGATAGTGAGAGTATAAATTCCCGACCGAAGCTGCTACCTTGACATGGTGGTCGGGCTTGCCTATCGTGATAACCCAACCGAGCTATATTGGCTGGAACTTATGTTCCTATAGGTTCTACCATGCCAGGTAGGTCGATTGGAGAACGATCAGACTAAAAGCAGTTACTCAAGGTCTGAGGGCGAAGTCGTACTGCTGACTGACTGCAGAGGGGTGTGACAGCAGTAAGATGTTTCCCTCGGACAACCAGCATCTGCAGCGATGCTGCCTTCTCACAAGGAAGGAAGGGTTAGAAAAGATCGGCCCTAAAAATATCACACCTCCCCTAACTCACGGATTTCCGTCTCCTTGGGTATGGGTGCCCTCTAAGGGCCTTCAAGAGCGGAGCTAACACTCTAAAAACTTCTCATAAAAAGGCCGTGCGTGACCGGCCTCAAGCAGTTGTCCCTTGGGCTCTGCGGACACGCAACCAGGTCTCCAAGACCAACACTAATCTATCTTCCTTTTCAGGTCCCTCAAGAAACAACCTTCCACGGTGTGGGCAGCCGGGAAGTGATAACCGCAACAGCACACGAGACCAAATTGTTCAAAATCAAATCCTTCCTACTGAGAGTATAAATTCTAACTATAAACTGTTTTGTGTTTTGATTAGGGCACAAATCGAGATACAATAACTAGTCAATTTTTTTAGAAATCAAACAATGCTAGACAGTAAGATTTTTAAAAAATGAACGAAATTCCTTCAAACTCATCAGTAATGCACAACTAGAGAATTCGAACAAGATCGAGGGGAAATAAAAAACACATTTACAACTTTAGTTGAATATGAAATCATTGAATGAAAATTCAATACTTGTCATTTCCAACTATAGTCAGTAGTATGTAATATGTATATATGGTATGATGTTTATTTAATGTCACTGATGATAATGATTGGTGTCAGCCCAGTAGTTGTGATTGACTTATTTTAAGTCACACTAATATTCATCAGTTCATTCAACAATCACTAATAAAGATACAATTATTGTTAGGCTTCATGGTTTACGTTTCTTGAGTCTGGAAGCCCTGATGCTACTTCCTGGGGTCTCGCCAGCGTAGATATAGAGCATTGAGTCCTAGAGCAGAACTAGCTATCTTAGATTGAATCCTAATAGATAGTCGCTTATGTGCTATCCGACTAAACGGGACAGTAAGAACTCGGAAAGATAAGGACACTCGTCGTTGCCTATTCGTCATATCAGCCTAAGCCCCCACTGACTGCAGTCCAGACGATGTAAAAGATGAGTTTTACAGAAAGCTTTCGGACCTCCTTCAAAACGTTAGGCGCTCTGATATAGTAATAAAGACTGGTGATTTCAATGCTCAAGTAGGTAAACTAAGTGAAAAGGAAAGACAACTGGGTGGATATTATGGTGCCAAGGCTAATAGAACAGATGATGGCGATCGTTTGCTGCAACTATGCTCAGACAATCGCCTGTTTCTAGCAAGTACTGACTTTAAGCATAAGGAAAAACATCTTTTGACACGGCGACTACCGAACTCGTCTCAACGTTGGACCTAACTAAATGACATTGCTACCAGCCAACGATGGAGGGGTTCGATAGAAGAGTGTCGCTCGTTCTTGGGTACATGTTTAGATTCAGATCATGCCCTAGTGCGAGCGCGTATTTGTTTGAAGCTTACTGGACGTAGGAAAGACACCGTAAGAAAGCCTCTTAGGATCCTACTTATTGATAACAAAGCTAAAAATATATTTCAGGAACAACAAGAACAACAGTTAGGCGCCCATGTAGTAAGTGATGCACACGCTGGGGCAATTTGGAATGATATCAAGAAAGCTGTGGAAACGGCAGTGATATCTTCTGGTAAGGTAAGCCATAAGGTTACTAAGAAGTCGTGGATTTCAGTAGCATCTACGGAACTGATGGATGCTCGAAAGCTCATCCTGCCTGGCTCTGAGTGGCAATGAGGAGCAGAGTCAGCATAGGCGCAGGCTGATAATAAGCCTACGCAATGATCGCGAACAGTGGTCGGTAGCGAAAGCAAGGGAGATGGGAAAGGCAACGGCAATAGGCAACAGTAGAGTACTATTAAGACTCATAAAGGAAACCAGTATAGGGAATCCGACGGTAAGTGAGACTACCTCGGCTTATTATTCATCCTCAATCCAGGAGATTGGATTGGTGGGCAGAACACTTCAGAGATCAACTGAACTGGTCTTCAGCCACACTTCGGTTGTCCATAATCTCCAGTCAACCTCAATGGCAAGTTGATGTAAGTCCACCGACTCTTTGTGAAGTTGAAGAAACTAAAGCAAATCTAAAGCGAGGGAGAGCTCCAAGGCCTGACAAGCTTAACGCTGAGATTTAAAAGATGGTGGTCCAGTTTTAGCAGCTAGATTGACTGACATCTCAGGCATAATTTCGGAACTGGATGAAATCCCATCCGAGTGGTCTCAATCACTGATTGTCCCAATCTATAAGAAAGGACAGTGACAGTCACAGGGGAATCACTCTAACTAGTGTAGTATCTAAAATACTGGCCTCAATAATACTTCGACGCTTAACGAGAGCCCGTGAAGAGCAGAATAGAGAAAACCAGGCTGGTTTTCGACCTGAACGTGGCTATATAGACCACATCTTCACACTACGACAGGTCCTGGAACACAGACACACATTTAGGCGTCCTACAATAGTTGTTATCCTGGAACTTAAGGCGGCATTTGACTCAGTGGATCGTGAGGTTTTGTGGCAGTCACAGACTAGGCTATCAGCACTATGTGAATTAACTTCATGTATTGGAAATTTAACAAAACACTTTAGTATCATTTAAAAATATAATAAGATTAGTTAATGAATATCAATAAATCTGTTATGTTAGCTTATTAAAAAATTGGATAAACAATAACTAAATTGAATTACAATTTGTTATAAAACCATCATAACAAAACAAAAACTAAACTGTTGAACCAATCATAGATTACCTGGCCATTTGGTCGAATAGCAGGATCACGTGCACCATATGGAACCCATCCGCGATTCACTAGTATGCAGGTTCTAAAAAAACAAATATTAATTTGTTGGTTATGTGGTGATTGGCATTACGTACGATTCTGTCCATTCAAATAACATAAATGTCAGATGTGCAACAAACGTGGACATAAATAAAGAAGGCCATTGTCAACCAAATCGTACGTCTCGGCCCAGGAAGAAGCATAAACGACTCGACATGTGGTGAAATTAGCCGAGTCTAAATTACTTTCTCTGGTAGCTGCTTTTTAAACGGACTATGACGTTCGGAGAAAGTATGTTACTATCCAGATGAACGGTGCATCAGCTCGTTTTCAAATTGACATTTTTTTGATATCACCTTAATGCCTAGAGAAACGTATAACTTCCTGGGAAAACCGCCAATGAAGCCTTCTCAGAAAACAGCTAAAAGCGCTTCAGGTCGTGTTTTAAAACTGGTTGGTGAGATGCAGTCTGAATTTTCCTTCAACGGAAAAAAATGTCTAGGAATATGCTATCTGACAGAACGGCCAAACCTTGATCTTCTTGGTCTAGATATGCTAGAAAAACTGGGAATAATGGATTTACCCATTAACAGTGTCTGCAGCGTGTCGTGTTCATCATTGGACACCCCGATACTTACAAAGAAGACAGGTGAAAGGTTACAAGATAAACGGAAGAGGAAGTCAGCCTCTGTTTTTCAGAGGCCGCTGTACGAATATGAAAGCTCACCTACCAGTGAAAGCAGATGCCAAACCTACTTCACGCCCGAAACGCCCTATACCTTATGCTGCTCATGAGCCTCAACAAAACTTATCGGTGGGGAAGCAGTCCAATCGATGGTTGTTCACAGATATGGCTCCTACAAAGCAGGCGGCTCGTAAGAGTACGGGTGGCAAGACACCCAGGAAGCAGTTGGACTCTAGCACCAGATCCTACAAATCTTCTCAAAGGGGAGGTGTTAGTGGGACATAGATGGAATTAAAGCATGACTACGTTGCTACGCGCTGATTGGCTAATTTCCTATCCAATCAGCACCTGATCGACCCATGGAGAACAGGGTAGAAAATTCTCGTGTTGTTAGCTACATGCTGATTGGCTAAATCTAATCCAGTCGATCACGTGAATTTCTATCCAGAAGCTTCTCATGTAAATACTATAAATAGACTAACGTTGTATCTATTTTTTCCTTCGCCTTCGCCATCACCTTTGGCTTCTTATTTCCATTTAACCTTGCTATTCAGAATATAATCTTTTCCTGTCCAACCGTGTTTTTGATTCTTGGGAACTTGTCCAGTGTATTGTGTGGTCAGAGAATACTAAGCAATAGGATTTAGCTGGGAATCATTCAAGCAAGCGTTACAACACAATTAAATAATCAAATGAACAGAAAATCAAATTCTCTGAAATCGCATTTACTATTTTTTTGTTTTGCTTACCCAGGTTTATCTTCCAGGAAAAATGGTGTCACGATAAAATAACCAGAAGCTGATGGACGAGCCATACTTGACTGCATCACTTTGTTTGATGAATTCATTATCCATTCACTTCCATAGCCTTTAGAAGGTATAAAATCTTCAATTAATGTACGTGGTCCAATTACTACTTCTCGTGAATGATCAAAATGACCACGAACTGAGATGTGTGTGAATTCGGGAAGTTCAGCGCTAGACTCAACACTAAAATTGAATATTATATTTTTTTTGATAAAAGAAAACAAAGACGACAAACTTCTTAGGCAATGGAATAGGTTTAGCAGGAATTCTTGCATTGATTTTTTCAATTAAATCAATTTTCCATTTTCTTCGTTGAATTTGCCAATATCCTAGACCGAATGCAGTAGCTGGCAATATCTGAAATACAATTAATTCTCAACCAATAGAAATGATGGAATTTTCTTTAGTATACACAGATTTCAAAAGACATAACAATTTTATGGAGAAAAGAAATTATAACATGTACGTACGTACATTAGTTCAAGTTGATATACCATACCAGCATAGAGATGAAATTGTCGATTTAAAATCTCATAGTGGTAGAGGTAGTAAAAGTATGAGCAATAGTTGGAAAGATCACGGTCTGAAGATATTATTCAAGGTGTATAATACAGTGAAATTGATTTGAGATGAAAAAGATGGTTATGAGTAGTTTAGATTAGAATTTGGGAGAATGGATGCACCTGCGCAATCGTAAACGATTTTGAGCCATGTCATTCAAGGTCTCCAACCATCGGCTACTACTGTCTCAGAGACCCTTATCAACATGTCTAAGTCCACTTGTTAATGACATCATGGATTTGTGCCATGTTTTTGGATATATGAGCGATGCTTCGTCGCCTACGAATATACTATACTCTAACTGACCATGTTTCACAACTATAAAGTAGAACGGAGCGAACTGCTGCATAATAAACACGTTCTTCGATTTGCATATGGGTATCTCGCCTACGCTATAAGTAATGTTAATTAGCAAAAGCCAATCGAGCCTTCTATATTCATGCTAAGATTTGGTCACACATCAGGTTATCAGCACTAATGAGACACCCACGTTAAAGGAAGCGGTCAACACGCTCAACTGTTTCACTCTCTATCACTAGTTCAGGTGACAATGCAACCCAATCTTGAAGCAACATTTTGCACTTTGAGGGAGTGAACCGAAAAGGTTTGCATTGCTTCTTACGGTAGTCATAAGACTGCATTCTGTCGGCGTCTCCACCAAACACAGCTATGTCATCAGCATATTCTAGGTCAACAGGCGTGTCTCCTGGTAGAAGGTTCACTCCTGAAAAGTCACACGATCATAATGTTAACCCTAAAAGGATGTCTACGACAAAGTTAAATAAGAATGGAAAGAGTGGACATCCGTGACGGACACAACTTGAAGTAGTCCATTCCGATGACAGTTCACCATAAGCTCTCACTGCACCAGTAGTGGTGTTCGAGTAGAGAGCCTGTATAAGGTTATTGTGCTTCCTTTAGTACACCTTTCAATGACAGACACTACCACAGAACCTCACGCCTAACAGAGTCGAATGCGGCCTTAAGGTCTAGGAAGACAACTACAGTGGGACGTCGAAATGTGTGTCTGTGTTCTAGGAGCTGTCGTAGTGTGAATATGTGGTTTATATAACCACGTCCAGGTCTGAAAACCAGCCTTGGTTTTCTCTAGTCTACTCTTCACGATCTCTAATTAGGCGTCTAAGGACAATCGAGGCTAACAATTTAGAAACTATATTAGTTAGACTGATTTCCCTGTGATTGTCACAAGAAGATTTTTTTCCTTTTTTATAAATTGGGACAATCAGGGATTGAGACCGGTCGGATCGGTGGCTGATAGCGATGTGATCTAGTTAGGTCCAACGTTGAGACGAGTTCGGTGGTCGCCATGTCAAAAGATGTTTTTCCTTATGCTTAAAGTCAGTACTTGCTAGAAACAGGCGATTGTCAGAGCATAGTTGCAGCAAACGATCGCCATCATCTGTTCTCTTAGCCCCGACACCATAATATCCACCCAGGCGTCTTTTATTCTTACTTAGTCTACTTACTTTAACATTAAAATCACCAGCCAGTCTAACAGTAAGAAAGTTTTCGTGATTTATTTTTTACCTCATCTGAGCTGCAGTTTGTGGGAGTGTAGGCAGATACGACGAAGAGGCAGTGGCGAGTGTTCCTATCTTTCCGAGTTCTTACTGTCTCGTTTAGTCGGATAGTACATAAGCGACTATCTACTGGGATCCAATCTAAGAGAGCTAGTTCTGCTCTAGGACTCAATGCTATACCTAATCCAGCGAGGCTACGGGAGACAGCAGCAGGGCTTCCAGATACACAAAGAGTAAATCGAGTTGGTTCTTTATTTTGAAGTCAAATGAATGAAGCTACTCGGATCCTGTAAGCGCGTTTCGGAGACGCAGCATACATCGATGGCACGAGATTTCAGAGTCCTAGCTAAGGAAGCCTGGTGTCCTATTTGACACAATGATCGGACATTAAAAGATCCAATATGTAGTTCAGAACGGGGTTTCAGGAGACCAAAAATAATGTTTGATGAACTCCAGTCGTTTGCATTAGTGATGCGGGATGATAAAGGAATGTGAGGTTAGTTGTGGAGATAAGCGAGATGTTAGGAGGGTGTAAGAAGGATTTGATTGTGATCACTTTGGTTTCATGTGCTGTTGCGGGTATAAGGGCCTACAAATTCTAATCCCTTCCTTCCTTGCGAGAAGGCAGCATTGCTGCAGATGCTGGTTATCCGAGGGAAATACCTTACTGGTGCCACACCCCTCTACAGTCAGCAGTACAACTTCACCCTCAGGCCTTGGGGTTGCTGCTTTTAGTCTCACCGTTCTCCAATCGACCTACAAGAATATATGTTTCAGCCAATATAGCTCGGTTGAGTCATCACGATAGGCAAGCCCGACCACCATGTCAAGGTAGTCGGGACATTCAAGGACTGAGTTACCACGTTTAAAATCACTCATCTAGTTATGAGGTAAATTTTTATATTGATAGCCAATGATATAATCTGACTATTTAGATCGAATCATGTAGTGATTTGTAATATATGGTCTGATGGTCAAAAGTAAAGCATAGGTTTGCAACCTAATGGCTTAACTCTCAGTCACCTCGAAATAACTAAGTACTCAACTATATAAATATATGTATATATAAACTTGGGAATAAAAGCTTTTAACATTTGAGCATAAAAGTTCTCAGACATACACAGAACAAATCATAAAGAACAATATATAACTTGTTAACAGAATAGCATACCAACAAGGAATAACTGATCCACGTACGCCGTTTCTCCGAACTAGTTTGAAACGCACCATGATGTACACGTCGACAGCTAGTATAAGCATAGGCTAGCCTTATTGATCTAACAGAAAACATGAGAAATCTGAAAGATAATGGTAAATGAACGTTGATACATGACAAACCACAAAGATATGAAACTGAAAAAAAAAACAATGAAAATATTCGCCTGATAAGTTATTTTTCGAAGTGATCTCTCACTGGTTAGTATAATCGCTCTCCAGTTACTAAGTAGCAGTAGTTCTAAGCCCCTAACTGTTAGGTATAATTTTTAGACATCTAATTGATACAAAATATTTTTAGATCAGAAACATAATAACTAGGGATTCTACACCTAAGTAACAGTATGTGAAATGAACGTAATCCGTTTGAGAAATGAGTCACTTTAAACTCTATTAGAGTGAATTAAAACAGCTAGAAACGTAATTTTATACAAGCTTTCTAGTCAAGTGTTGTGTTATTCACGAGTTTTCATTTATACACACACTTTGAGGTGACGTTTTACGTATACATAAGACAAACAACACTATACAAACACTAATGTAAGCACATGTGAAACCTTTTAAAGAAAAATCTGAAATATGAGTATTAAATGCTCATTTATCTGATAGATAATCAATGACTTGATCTGATTGATACCAGTGAAATGAACACATCTTATTCTTGTTGGACATTCAGCAATATCGAGTAGCTGATTATCAAAAGTAAAATAAAGTTCCTTTTGAATTCTGATGATAACCAAAGACCTTATAGCTGGCCAGCTAATATTTGGCTACAACCTCTAGTCCACATTGGGGATATGTTATTAGGCGGAATGTAGGAAACTTAAGAGAAAAAATAACGAAAGCCGATGATCCAATAAGCACACAATACGTTTTATTGATATAGTATAACAACTTGAGCAGATATATATTTCCCAAACTTTACACTGTTTACGACATAACTACTACTTTTGTGTTGGCAGTGCACAAGCTTGATTACAAGATAATGCAGCAATTAACACTAGAAGTGACTATAGACATGGTATAGAGGGTATATGGAGGGAAACTAATTGAAATACTAGAAAAACTAAGTAACCTAAAGTCGATTTTAATGGGACAGACAATCTAGTTTTATCAAATGATAGTAAAAATATTTTCTCCAATTACAAACCTTCTTTTGTGGGCAATATAAATGAAAACTACAACAGAGGTGAAATATCTGTTTAATAACAAAAAGCAATCAAATAGCAGCGGAATGATAACTTTGAAATGAATAGTTAACCCTCATATGTCAAATTATTCCTTGTAGTTAAGAAAGACCAAGTTTAAATACTAGGAGTTGGGTGTGTCGTAAGTTATGGTTACCGACCCACAGAGTTTTTGTCACTAAATGACATCATTATAATACAAAAAGGTTAGTAGTAGGTATTCAAGAGTTTAGCTGGAGGTTTGAGATGGACTTGCGAATTAGGGTCAAGGTTTTCATGATGAAATGGCACCGGCCTTAATGCAATGCTTCGTCGTCTTTCTTCATATAAACTTAAGAAACTTAGAGTTGAGGTTTGGAGTAACATTCAGAGTGGGAGATTGTTAGAGAGCTTCACTAGACAATCTTGACTATGCATCGAAATTTACCTAGCACTTAAACACATTCTCTGGGGGTATATCCTGTAATATTATATAACAGACGGTTGCTGATCTCGAACATTTTAAGGATCAATTAATCCCGAATTTCAATTGTCTTAATTATCACAAGTTAACTAGAAACCGTCATTAAACTATATTTTAACCTACGTTAAGTATAAATGACAATTCTATCAACTATACAGGTTCTTTTTATTCTAGGACAAGAATATAGTGGCATCGCCCATTGATGGAGGCCGCTGAGTACTTGAAGGTCGAACCGGTATAAAACGATTGGTGCGCCATGTCGACAATTCACATGCTTTTGAGAAGCGGTTAAATCAAGGAAATCGTAAATTTGACTTTAATTCTGCCACGCTCTCACGGACAGCCTCCATATTTTAGATGATGAAAATGATGCCATCGTAGTGATGCATGATATAAGATAAATGTTTTATGATAACGTGCTGTTGTGGCGATTTACCATTTGGGACAGTTTTAAAAACTACATGAATGAGGTACTTAAGGCAATATGACTTCTGTGATTAATTCGTTGTGCAGTGTACACACACTAAGTACCTCATATCAGCATGTAAAGACGGCGAGCTTGACTCAACTCCCAAAAATTTTTTCGTCAGATATGTTTGATGGAATGGCAGTTCATCAGGATTATACGCTTGTCTTCAGGAGGTAAGTAGTAACTGTGGTCAACATTCTTCCAATGACTGCACACCTCCTCACTCACCACAACAACCTAGGCAGAAAAGACGACGTCGGTCATCTATGCATGCTTCGTTTCAAATAAGCTTGCGCTTTAGGTCTAAATATTCAGACTGCCGATCTGGATTTTGCGTCTGTGGAGGAAATGGTAAGTTAGGGGTTACCTCCATCTAGACCGTTCACAACCATCCTTGCTAAGAAGCCTACATTTTTTCAACCCCTCAAGACGACAATTCATGTCAAGTGAACGATTGTAAATAAAACTGTTTTCGGTGAGTAATGCACCAACTCTTAGCTTCTGACATCTCGCTTCTTGAAAGTTCTGCAAGCCTTTGGCCAGTAAAGACGTTGCTAAAAATGCACTCACTCTTTTATTCATGGTTTTAAACCTACATTCTGTTTAATCGATTACAGATACTAAACATAACTACATTTTACAGAGCATCCAGCTGAGCATAGAAGTAAGAATATCCTCAGATGCTTCTGTCTGAGGAAGCGAATGGCCATCTGTGTATGTATGTATTGTATGTTTGTATGTATTGACTGAACTCATCAGACTAACAAACCTGGGTAAGTGATAAATAATAACAAGTCATTTAGGAATTTTTGGATTGTTCCATTTAGTCATAATAGATAATTTCAGACAAGGGGACACCGTTATGTATGTTCTTTTTAGACAATAACGTCGTGAAGTCATCGTAAATCTGTTAGAATACTCTAAAGATGTGTCGTGAATATGATAAGCGACTAAGCTTGCAGCCGCCAATTATAAGGGTTAAGAGAATGAGAGTATCAGGAGAGTACATCCGCTGCTACTATAATGGCCTAATGCATGTGATCGACACTTCCCTTGTACGATGTGTTTGTGAGTTCTTTAATCACTATGTAATTCAGTGTGTTCACATTTTGTATGCACATACTAAAAACCTATTCCTTGAAGTAACAGTGCACTTATTGACAGCTATAATCGTCACAGATTTTTGACAAAACACCGTCTGGATGCGGAAGTTTAAGGTAGACCTGGTTCTTCGAGCGATGGGTGGGATATCAAGATCCACAGAAAAAGGAGACCTACTGGAGAAGTCCAAAAACAATAACCATCCAGTCCGACCTCTTAGTGGATTTCAGGCTAATAATTTGATCCGTCTGTGTTTTAAAGCATCTTTTTACGAAGTACACAAGCTATGCTTATCTATGATGGTTACGAAGAAGCTACACCCTCAGAATGTATTGCTCTGACCGACCATAGTCATGCTGGGCTATCATCGAAATTGATTACTTCAAGTTTTGTCCGTCATGGATGTCCACTCTTTCCATTCCTATTTAACTCTGTCGTAGACATGCTTCTAGAGTTGGCATTATCTTCGTCTGACATTTCACGAGTGAACCTTCTGCCAGGAGACACGTCTGTTGACTTAGAATATGCTGATGACATAGCTGCGTTTGGTCGAGACGCCGACAAAATGCAGTATTCTGACTACCCTAAGAAACAATGCAAACATTTTCAGGATACGGTTCACTCCCTCAGAGTGCAATATGTTGCTTCAAGATTGGCTTGCATCGGCACCTGAACCAGTGATAGGGAGTGAAACAGTTGAGCGTGGCTACCAAGAATAGAGGATATTCGCAGGTTAATATTGTTCAGTTGTTGGTGTCTTCGAAGCATTGCTTGCTCATGCTGGGATCACTGAATAAACGATGTTAGTGTTAGGAGACGGACATTAGCTGAGAGTGGCACATCGGTTGATGAATTTGTTAGTCCTGATTGCTTGATGTGTTTGGGATGTGTATAACGTAAGCCTAACCACTGACGTCGTTGAAAGGTTCTGCTGTGTAGTGTAGGAGTGATCTGGAAGAAAATCGATGCCGGTCAGACCAAAACGCGGTAGAAATCCATAAAGTTGTCTGCGATTGAGCTGAGCGATTTTGGTAGGTTTTGGCTCGCTTTACGGTGGTAATGAACTGTTAAAGACTTTGAGTGACGTGCATCCAAATAGTTTTCAATGGCAGAAATGCATCCATTCTTTGTCTTATCTCAAATTCTCATCTTCTAAATTCCTCATGATGCTTTTACTCTTTTTAAATTTGCCTCACTGGATTGTACTTATAGAATCATAACTTTGACCCCTATTCTATTCGATCACCTTGAATACTTGAGCTTCCTCAATCTTCTCTCTGTTTTCACATGATATTGAAACTTGATCAGATTAACGTACGTACAAAGCTGTACGCTATGGTTGACTGATGCACATGATGAAGTCACTAATAAATAGCGATTGAGAATGACTGGAAAGGAGAGCGGCAGATGAAGTTGGCTGAAGAATGCTATTCAGAGACCTATGTCCCATCAAGCGTAATCGAAGTCAGTAATTACGTACGTTTCAACCTGAATCATATCTTAACTTCCAACTGCAGTTTGATTGAAACGTGAATATTTGTTCGAGTTGAGACTTACTATGATCACCACTAAATACTAATTACTAGCCCGTCACAGATAAGATAAATAAATTCATGGTAATGAATATATTTACTGACGATTTCGTAGTATCGAAAGAATACTGAAATCGAGCCAGGAAATGAAGCGAATTTACAGAGCTGGTGGAGCAAATTGGCGGCAAGAGAAACAGAAAGTTTGCGCGCAAAGAGTGTTATAAAGAAAAAAGTACAGTTGAACAATCACTGGTAAACCTGTTTATAATAATGAGTGTTTCTATTTAACCAATCGGGTTCTCTCCATAAAAGTTGATTCACTACAAGTTCACCGGTATTGTTCGCAGTAAAGTGGTCAGTCCAGTTAATGTTTCTGAGGCGACTCCCAATCAATCCTACGAAAGACCCTACGAAGTGTCGTGGATTTACGTTTTATAATTGTGACGCCTATATCAAGGCGATATTATGATCGCTATCTATCTGCAGTATTAGGAATGAGATTACTTGTGAAAACTAAATCCAATATATTTTGCTGTCTAGTTGGACGGTCACCATGTTGAGTTCATTCTCTAGGCTCTAAGCACTGAATAAATGGTTCAAAACGTGTAGGTGCTTTGATTGGGAACAAAGAGATTTCAGGCATGTTAAAATCCCCCTAAATAGCCTTGCCTGTAAACAGTAGCGATAAAGCAATCGTGAATACTTCTGCCAATAATGCTAGATCTCCTGTTGGTGCGTCAGGCTGACGGTAGACACAGCTGAAGAGTAAGGAGACTGCATTGGAGGGTTTCAGAACGACACACACAGAATCTTGTAATTTGTTTAGTTCCGATATATCACGTAAGAAAGAGTTTAGGCTAGACTGGGCATATATGGGGCATCCTCCGCCTCGTCCTTGTAACTTTTCACTTCGAAGGAGATCATTGTTTTTAGGAGATATACTTAGATCGGAGATATTACTGGTGTTCCATGCCTTAGTTATCGTTATAAGAACAAGAATCGAGCGCAAATAAATCAGTTGGTTTATACTAGCTGGTGAAAAAGATGTTGGATATTGGATGGTTGGCGAATAGACGAAAACATGGCTAAATCTGTCTTTTTATTACAGATCGAACGAGCATTAACAAGACATATATCAAACAAATGTTTTATTGCACCTTTTGTTTATTTGTACTTTGTACACACAGACTCCTTGTTTGTGATGCTGCCACTTTCGTGTATACTGCTCGCTGTTAACTGGTCCCCCTTTTCCGGCAAGATTTCGGTATTCCTTCGATAATACGAAATCGCGAGCAAATATATTTCCTTGTATAGCTTAACTTTTCTTCCCAGTCCTTGAGACACGGAGATATTATATTCATTGACGGGAACATAATCTGTCCGTGGCGGTGATCACAGTCAACCGCGACTCGATCCATTACAAATGATAAGCAGTTACATTTCGAACACTTGCGGATGTTTTCCATGAAGAAAGCCGATTACGGTTAATCTATACACATTTTTTAATTTACCTGTTGCATATATCATATCGTTATCGTTTAATGTGTATTATACTTGCAAAAACATTTTGAAATGGTGAATAGCTGTAGACGTAGAGGTGCAGGTCATCGCATTTTAACCTGTGTCCTCCCCCTCACCCCAGGTTGGTCGTTTATTTCACGTGCACGATTATCGCAGTGACGCTAGAGACAGGTGCCCACGTTTCCGTCGTATCTTCTTTCAGCGGCAAGTTTAAAGCTACAACTCTTCGACTACGCGCTGCGAATGGCTCTGTCATTCCTTCCTACGGTAGACGACAGGTAACAGTCGACCTGAATAATGGACGGCAGTTTCTGTGTAAAGTTCATCACTACTGATGTTCGTATAGCCGTACTCGGTACCGACTCCCTGCACCTCTATGAATTGCTATTCGATTCAGGTAGGCTGAAGTTATTCAGTACTGCGTTGAATAAAAACCCAGGGAGCATAACAATCAAACAGATGTGTAGAGAATCGCTGGTGTAATTTTTTGCATGATTACTTATTTCATAAGCAGTTCGTCGTAACACAACCATTGTAACTCGCGCCAATTATTCACATTGTGCATTGCAGAGTATGGAAAATTATCGATAATTTAATGTTGAAAGTTTTAGCCATCTATATGAAGCCAATTTATCTTATGAAATATTTGAGTAACTG